AACTGGTGCAGAGGAGGGACTGACTCAGAGGGGACTTCAGCGGTCTAAGCGTAACAGACGTGGGGCTGCGCGCCTCGGCTGTGGAGCGTACAATGCACTTCAATAAAGATCTTTGTATATAAACTGGACTAGGCGTTGGTCTCTTGTGAGCTGGGACCTGAGGCAGCCCTGACAATAGCATTTATTTTTTTTAATCGCCCTACTTGCTATATGTCAAGGTTTTCCTGGACATTTGGCCGATTCAGCCAAAATCTGCCCGGAAGCCATTTTGCAGCCCGATTCCTGCATGTGTCCTGGAAAACCCGGATGTATGGCAGCCCTAGGAATGCACCACTGGAGTCCTTCTGCTCAAGGCAGGCCCTGTTCCCAGAGTAACAAGCACAGCACTGTCTGAAAGGTTTTTTGTTTAAATAAGTTCACACTTGGAAGCTTTAAACAATACTGAATGCTTAAAAGATACCATGTTTAATTTATTGTTTGTTGTCCCCCCCCTTTTGGGTCTAGCCTTCTGTACATAAAATTCAGTGCCACAAGCCTCTCTTTCAGGTTTGGCAGCACCTGTCTAATTCTTATTTCCCCAGGCGCTATGTCTCCATTTAGATTTTGGCTTCCTTTCCCTATGTGGAAGATGGATCTACAGATTGCGTTCTTGTAGGGGGATCCAGATTAGCAGCAGACTTTGTACCCAATGCAAATTTAAGATACAAATATGGTAGAGTTTGGAAATAGTTATTTCACATATTTTGGAAGTGATATAAAAATAGCATTGGAGGATGGCAACACATTTCTTACAGTCATTTGCCATGTGAGGAATCTGTGGAGGGGGGCAGATTTTCCCCTATAGGTGGGGCCAACTCTTTCTATAAAGGTTTTTCCCTGAAAGAATTACAACAGGCTCACCGTGCCTTGTGAACAACTGCAAAACTATCACGCTATTTGATAGAAATCCTAAATACAGCTGGTCAGCACCCTTTCCCTTAAGCCCAGCCCATGAAATATTAAATAGTAACAAGCTTTGCACTGACTCTTTTCAAAGCCCAGAGGATACCAAATCTTACAGGAGCTTGTGAATTGTCCTTAAAACACAGAGGGGTAGTTTAACAACTGTGTAGTTTAGCACATGGGGAAAATGCTTAAATTCTTTTTAATCTAAGGAACCTAAATGGCCATATATTTATTTCAAGGAAATGCAACACACACACACAAATAAAATCACTCAAACTTACCTAGTTATATTTTACCTGGTTGAAGTGGATAATGGGTTTCAGACCATGTGCAGAGTTCCTTGCATGAAAGGTGATATGAATGTGAGAGCATGTTTTGATTCTTAATTTGGGATGATTACAAGGAGACAAATATCGGGGTGCTTTCCTGTCTTTAGGGGAAATCAGAGATTAGTAACAGCCAACCTCTTAATTCAGATGAATGGTTGCTTGAACCAATGGTGAGAGAAGTCCCATCTCTGATGCAAATGGTCTAAGGTAGCAAATCAGAACTGAGTCTGGTTCCATCTTCTTAATAATTCTGAACTTACACAACTTGTTAGCTGAGACTAGCTAGAATACCATGTTAAAGGGATTATGCTGAGAATGTGTACTGGGGAAAAAACAATCTAGGAGATGCATTTGTTCAGGAGTTCCACAGGTATAAGAGAATAATAGACACAGGTAGTGCCATTGGATTACAATAGAATAGAGAAGGCTTGGCACATTTCTCATTTGTCGTCTTTAGCAATACAGGAATTGCTTCCACCACTAACACAAACTGGGTAGACTAGATCACGTATTACATTCTGACTTACCAAGTCAAGCTTCATGTCCCTTGTGTGTGTAGGGGGAGGGGGAAGTTACCTGAAGCCTTCACACATCTTTTTATCATGCTGTTAAATCCTGGGTGGACTAATATTACTGGCTGCAAAATATTTGGGGCCTTGTCAAGCAAGAGTTCTAGGGAGTCAACATTAATAACTGGTTGTGCCAAATGGGAACATAAGTCCTTTGTTTGTTTGTTTGTTCACACATACCCCACATTTCCCCCTGAAGGGACTCAAGACCACTTATGTGCCTTATCTGCCTCTAAAACAGGCATGTCCAAAGTCTGTTTCGGGGGCCTAATCCAGTCCGGCGGTCGATTTAATCTGGCCCCCATGGCAGTATATGTCCTGAGGTAAAATCCTTTAAAAAGTTCAAAAACATTGGGGTTAAATCCTAAAAAAAAAAACCTCAGCAACTTTGGCCGGCCCTCACGCATATTCACTCCATCAGATCTGGCCCTCTTTGAAAAAAGTTTGGGCACCCCTGCTCTAAAGATTCACCCAACCTTCTCAATGGGATCCAGTTGAGCATCACAGTACTGTCTTGAAGCACTCTTCTCAAAAGGATCCTTCAAAAGAGACACCCCATTTTGCAATTGAACAAAATGCCCACCGATATCACTGCCTACCATGATCCATGTTAAGAGAACACATTTTCGGCTTCTCTTGCTTCTTCTTCTCCAGCAATATAATGTGCTTTCGGTATCCTGCCTTAAAGTGTGGCTAGGACTTGTCTGCACCTCTGTAAACTGCATGTCTTATTCCTCCTGCTAAAAAGCTCATCATACCACTTTCATAATGAGGGAACTAAGTCTGCCTGACTTCGTAGGCATTACACTTTCTTCCCTCAAACAATTTCTTTATCCTCCTGTGACCACTTACTTTCACTCCTGGTCTTCATTCAGCTCATGAAGTCAAGAGATTGAAATACCCTTTTAAAAATGTGCCACGTTGATGGCAGTGTTTGAAGTCTCGTGACTGGTGCCCTTTTAAAGCAGGCACCTCCGGCTTATTTAATTATTCATGTTAGTTTTAGCGCTGTTCCTATAAAGCCCTCGAGTGAAAAGACAGCGATAATGGAAGTGCCTTCACCTACTTACCAGCCCACCAACCAGACAGCATCAGCAACAGCACTCTTCTCTTTTTCTCTTTCATTTGTGTTACTTCCACAGCAGTCTCACGGTTTTGACCTTTCTGAAGCACTCAGGTAATTAACCCTTTTCCTGAAGGTGGATCCGCTCAAGTTTCCTGGTTTTATATCTAATCTATCTATCTATCTATCTAATATCCCTCTTCCGAAAAATACCAAAAAACAATGAAAGCCTAGGATCTTGTACACTGAAAATCTGAGTAACACCATTTTGGACACTTCATTTTCTGCTAAAAAGGTTAACCAGTGGATTATCTCAAATCCACCTTGGAGACATAATTTTAGTTAGAACAAGAGGACATAACTTACAAGTGCTTCCCTGAAACAGGGAAAACCATATATCTGTTTCACAGATGTGAACTGCAATGCCATGCCATTTTTATTCCTGGTTTTTCTATTCTGAAAACTATTGTTGATTTTGTTACAAAATGCTGTTGGGAGACAGAGTCTCAGCTGGGGCCAAGGTCCAGGCACAAGTTGAAGAGTGCATGGCTGGATGAGCAGAGATAAAATATTGAGGTGGTGGGGGAGAAAGTTTCAGGAGTGCAGGTGTGGATGCCGTTCTGAACGTTGCAACTAACACACAAAATGAGAAATGGGGACAAACAGAACAGTCTGGGCTCAAACCTATCTGCAGGGAGTTTGTGTAGAGAATTGTGTTTTTAATGCACCCTACCTGCCATCCCAGCCTATTCTGCCACCTTGCCCCCACCTCAGTTTGCTGCATGTGTAACCCAGGCCTAGATAAAGCAGGCACAAAACTTCCAGGGTACTTGGTGGGAGGGATGGAGAACAAGAGAGAGAGGAAACTGAAAAATATGCCAGTGCGCGACAAACTGAGAAAAGATCCCAAGTTCAGAAGAAGCTCTGGACGTGCAGTGATGGGAAACTCTGAAGGCTTCACAAGAGAAATAGGCAAGAGAGTAAACAAGAACTGGTCCTAGCTAGGCTTGCAATGACAAGACATTCTCAAGGTGAATGTAGACAGCACATTCTACAGATATACGGATAAAGGGCGGCATACAAATTTAAATAATAATAATACAAGAAATACATGAGTTCAACTCATATATGTTAACAGTGTTTTGGAAGACTCATTGCAATGCCCATGTTTTGTCCCTTCTGTTTCAGTACATACCTTTTTAGTAGTTACATTAGAATATACAAGAATAAGCGGACGTTTCTTCTTCCCTTCTCCCCTCTCCCCAGTCATGAAGTCCCTGCATTTTCATGGGCAAGTTGCTTTCACAGACTAGCCAAATTCAATGCTGCTGTTAAAATAAAATTAGGCAAATCCATATGTGCTAGGACTGAGAAAATAAACTATTGTTCAAGGCGGGGGGAGGGGGGTCACACGGAACCGTCAGTACTGTGTTCAGACCACCAGTGACATGTGATCCCATATATTAGGCCTAAATGTTTTCACTGAGAGGACCAGGTATAGTGGTACCTCTGGTTACGACTGGAATCCGTTCGTAACCAGAAACGGCTCATAACCTGAGGTGCCATTAGCGAAAGTGTGCCTTCCGCTGTGCACGCACCTCTGGCGTGTGATTTCCGCTCACACCGGAGCTTGTAACCCGCAGCGTGCGCAACCAAAGGCGTTCACAACCAGCGGTACCACTGTATTGTAAAACCCTCCGAGTCACTCACACCAACCTGTTTTATTACTCCTACCCTGATAGCTACCACAGGCTGTGAGTCACGGGAGGAGAGTTTCATGAGGTACTAGAATTTCAGGAAGGAACTATGAAATTATGCAATATAGGTAGTATGTTTACCTCAGGATCATTACTAGAAGCATGGAATTAAATGGTGTCAAGTCACCACTATTAAACACCCAGCTCTTTGCTTATAACGTGCACAACTTATTAATCTGAAGATGGTGTCAGGGTGGAAAAACATTTGTGTGGCATTTGACAGTTCCATGTCATCACAACCACAGCTACTGCCTGGGAAGGGGGGGGGAGGAGCATGTAAGAAACCCTTTTAAGCACTCGTTCATATAATGAATTAATGACACACAGCCAAACCAGATCTAATGAAATAAACTCTTTATTGCTGCACACATGCTTATATATTAAGCTTTTAAATATATTATTATTATATTGCCATTCTGAAAAGCTTTACATTCTCTTTATTTTTAACAAGTAGCAGAGGGCAGAACCAATGTAAACAAAGGAAACAATTTAAATTTAAATTGTCTTGCAATATAACTACAACCAATAGCCAAGAAAAACAAGTTCAATAAATATTAGAAATCCATTAATTTCATTTTTTAATTATTTAAATAGGCAATTTTTCACTTGTAAGTGTGGCTCCTAGTATCTGTTTCCTCTTGCAAAGGGCAAGAATCTAAATACTACCAGACAGTTAGTTGGGAGTGATAGGACAATTCACCAATGTGCTGAACTTAGAAATGCAACTATAAAACTCATTCACACTGGCAATCCATTCTTAATTTCTCCAGCATATTTAGCAGTCTGGGCAAACCTTTGTTACTAGGCAAGAAAACAAAAGCCACTCTTTCACTGGCTCTACAATTAAAAGAAAGAGTCAGAAGTCATTTCACCAGAAGCACCCAGGTGCCATGCTTCTTGACAATTAACTAATTATATTTCACATTTACTTTACCAGACACTTGAAAGAAGAAATACTAGTATGCCTTTTTTTAAAAAAACTTTCTGTGCTTCTGGTTTGTTTTTGCCCCAATAATTCAGTATTGGCATAAACTCTAAAAGGTTAAACCTCATTTGTTTGCTAAATTCAGCAGATAGCCAACTGAATCCTTTTTCATGATAACAGGAAGACTGCGGAACAGAATGAAATCAGCAGCTCAATAATCAAGTTGTGCCCCTTTCAATATGATGCCCTTTTATTCTGTGAGGTGCCCTTCCAAGTTGTCACCATAACACGATGGAGAGAAAATATGCCTAGCCAATCCAGGTTCCAAACACTCTAGCATCAAACTTAACTTCTGTGACTACTTTTCGTGAAAAGTAGGGAAAATAATACCTTGGCCAGGTTTTTTAGTTTGCTGCCTCTGCGTAACATAACTGCTCCACATGATTTTGAACAAGTACCATTCTTTTAAGAGATGTGCTTTCCTTGGCACAAAATCAGGAGTCAGAAGTGTCAAATTCTACATCAAGTTAGTTTCATTTGTCAAATACTGCATGGACCCTAACTGTAGATTTGTGGCGGCTCAAAGGGGACTTGTTTAGAGACTGGGATGGCTGTGTATTCCAAAGCAGAGACTGAAATAAGTCAGAGTTTAAGTGCCTCATTTAAGAGAGCCTGCATGGGAATAACATCACATAAATATGGATGATATATATGCCTTGAGATAGAGCCAAGAACACAAAAAACTCAGTCCTGCTACTGTATCTCTCTAGGGACATGAACTACAGGTGTAGAATCTGGGACACCCCCACCCTACCATTTCCCATTCTATCACAAAACATTTAAAGGAAGATGAATCTCCAGTATGGCAGGCAGTAACTTCTGGTAAGCCCTGACTCTGCTTACATGGTTATATAATGTCATTATCTTGTTCAAATCAAGAAACCAGGCAGGAAAATGGGAAAAGACCCAATGTAAGTTTCTCACTTCATCACACCCATCAATGGAAAGTGAAAAAACAAGTTCTTGACCTTGCTTTGATTGTGAATACTTATCAGTGGAAAGCTGAAGGCCCAGTATTACATCAAGCAGAGCAACTGCATCTACTAATGCAATTGTACTCATGATTAATAGTATTTGTATATATGAATAATCATCCTCACATTGCCAGGATAATCCAAAGTGGGCCTCCTTGTCATATTTATATTTATACAGCACATAATTCTTAAGGGTATGTGGTACAGAGCCACTGCATTATCTTAGCTAGGAAAGTTTCCATGTTAGGCAACACAGCCCTTTCCTGCGTTGTTCACATCCCCACCTCCTCCCAAAATGTTCTCCAATTGCCAAAGTCTCAAAGTAGTGCTTGTTAGGAAGATTTTAAGAGGAGTTTGTGTTAAAAAACCTACTAACTTGTGGCAGCCTTAAAGGACATGCCTTGGTAAGCTTTGTTACAAGCAGATGTTTCACTCAATTCAGCAGAGTTTAGTGATGGTGGGATGAGCACTAAGCAAGCCCAGATTGTAGTTGCCTCCAACTCCTGCTATTTCTAAAGGGAGGGGTAGGGGGAAGATGACACACTACACACTCTTGAGCAGTGGTGAGCCACTGCCTTTCTTGTCTGTACACCAACATGCATATACCAGAGTAATGTGATTCATAGACCCTAATTTCGCAATGTGTTGATCACGCTATTTGGATCTATGCCAATGTGAGGTCAAGTGTATTGGCACTGGGCGGTCACGGGGTGAAGATGGTTGCATGACAGTTATACCCCAACCCACCCCATACCATTACCTGAATAGGGCAATAAGTTATGCTTCCGTGAGAAAGGAGGAAGTGCATGCCACACATACACTCACATACTCCAAACCAGGATTTGAAGACTTCGCAAACCACCTGAACTAAACTTCCAAGCCCAGCAATATCTACAAAATGTCACAACTATGCTTGAAGTGGAACAGACACATGACTGCTAAACATCGGCATTTGAGCATCCTCTACAAAAGTAACATGTAAAGAGTAGGTGGCCAAGTGTGTTTGCACTCGAGACAAAAGTCGAGCCATGCAATTTCGTAGAGCACTACTGTGTTCCAGTAAGAACTGCAGAAATGGGGAATAAAAAACAAATGGGACACCTGAATTGAACAGGAGCTTGCTGAATAATAAGGCATCTGGGTTAGAAAGCCAAGGTTCTGCTCTGCCCCCACTGTGCAAATCTGGAAGATAAGGCTGCAGGATGAATAAACACAGCCATTTCTGCAAGGCAAGCAGCAGGCAAATGCAGATACCACTGCACAAGCACAACATTTCTGTAGCCCTGTAGAAGTAAAAGTGCCTATCTCCCTAATTATCCTGTAAAATATGGATCATGAAAGGCAGTCTGATTCATTCCTTAACCAGCGACTGCCTTGAATTTAATCTGCTTGCAGGAAGGTGTTGTGCCAATGTTCTTGCAGGCTGCACCAATTTTCACTAGGCATCGCTGGCCTGCAACATCTGGCAGCCTCACAATATGCCAATCAATACATTCATTAAATTTGGTTTGCAGATCACCCGTCAGCACTATCATGTACAAGCAGCAATGTTTTCAAATCTGAGCTGCTTCCGGGGACCTGGTTCTCAGGAGAAGAAAGGTAGATCAGTATGCAATTGTCAGAATGTTAAGTTAGAAACTGAAATTATGCATAAAAGGGGAAAGCAGCTACAAAACCCAGGGGGGTGAGGAGAGGGAACTCTGAGCTGTGATCTACTGTGAAGTCACACAGGGTGATGTCCCAGATTAGCATTCAAATCCTATGCTGGCCAGAAGATTATCCAGAGCTTCCAGTTTCTGATTGGCTTCTTCAATTGCACTGTATGTTTGCACGTTGCTGGTTATGTGGAAACGGATGTCGTCAACAAGAGGGATTGAGTCTGTCTCCTGCCGTTCTTCGACTGCCTCAGCATTCTCCTTCACTGCCACAGCAAACTCCTCAAACTCCACTAGCTGGATTGGAAAGAGAAGTGGTGAAGGAAATTGGCAGGCTGATAAGCATATTAGAGTCCTCAGCATAATGATGTCATTTAGAATTTTAAACAGCGGTAGAAGTACAGAAGAAATTCTGATTCAGTGTATACAATTATGCATCACATGGACATGAGTTACCAAAAAAATAAAATAAAAAAGATTCACACTGAAAGCATAATACTAAATTTCAGAATAGTGGGAAGAAGAATCACTCTATTGTAACACCACACAAAAGAGACCACCTTTTCCATAAGGAGGCCTAATTCAGCTCAATAATTTGATGAAGACCTGGCAAGCAAGAAAAGGATCTCTTTAAAAAAATGCAGACCTAGGTGTGGGATGCAACTTTGACATTAAAAAATGGCAGCACAACTATCTGAAACCTTAAAAAAAACAAAAAACATGTTTGCTACATAAAGGCTTTCTGTTTGGAACCACCCATCCCTCTTGCTCCCTCCATCCCACCATTTGCTGAACTATTTAACCTCAGAAACAAAAAGTTACCCAACACAAGGTCACTCTAGAACTGGTGTTTTAGCCATTACATAGCACCCACTTAATCTAAGCAATCTTAGTCAACTTCTTCACTAGCTGTCCCAGTCCACTGCCTTTGTGGGTACTGCTCAAACATTTAACAGAGCTTCCCAGACCCTGTAAAGCAGGAATAGGCGTTTGTAACAATTTTTCACAGAAGCAAAAAAGGCTGATGAAGTACGATACCCACCAAAGGCTACAAAAAGCATGGTTCCACAGGCCTGTGCCTCTATATTCCAATATAAATTCATCATCTAAAAAAATTATTGGTGGCCTATTGTACTAGAACGGCGAAGGTGCAGGAAAAACAGAATCCTTTAGAATTCTTAACAGCGGTGCAGTTAAGTCCTGATTTTTGTTTGGCTAACAAAGGGCTCCCCACTAAGATCCACTTCCTGCTTGTTTTCACTGGGGGAAAATGGGAGAGGAACTTTTGTATAAGTGGATCTGTTAAGAAATCATTTTCTTCAATGTGCTTTCACAGTCAAGAAAGAATTTCACACCTTTCTCAAAGCCTGTTAAGAACAGTTGCAACTTGTGTGGGTGTGTGAATTAGAGCCATTAAAAAAAAAAATCAGTGAATTGACCGGGCTCCCATATGCCCAGCAGAGACAAGACTGTGAACCTGTGTTCATGGGACTGTAGTATGGGACTGTCACTACTACAACTGGTCAAGCAGAAGAGGAGATGGAAAGAAGGAAGCACTCTTGCTCTTCTCCTGGGGCAAACATTGGCATAAATGCATGTTAATACTGTCCAGTTAAAGCACAATTTAGATTTCTGCATTTCTTGGGGAGACGGCATGATATGATATGGGATTAAAGTAGCAGGATGTATGTAGTCTGCACATAACTGAGGTCTGCAATGTAGCCTTAATGCTTAAGGTACAGTGGTGCCCCGCAAGACGAATGCCTCGCAAGACGAAAAACTCGCTAGACGAAAGGGTTTTCCATTTTTTGAGTCGTTCCACAAGACGAATTTCCCTATGGGCTTGCTTCGCAAGACGAAACGTCTTGCGAGTTCGTTTCCTTTTTCTTAAAGCCGCTAAGCCGTTAATAGCCGCTAAGCCGTTAATAGCCGCTAAGCTGCTAATAGCCGCTAATAGCTGTGCTTCGCAAGACGAAAAAACCGCAAGACTCGCGGAACGGATTAATTTCGTCTTGCGAGGCACCACTGTACAACCTGGTGGGGTTGTGGGACAAACTGCTCTTTGTAACCAAGATTCAGTACAAAAAGATATGGCTTCTACTATTAGGCCAATGCTTCTCCATGGAAGCTTACAGTAAAGTAATAGACTCTTGAATCTGCCACAATTGATACAAATCAACAGAAAGTTTATATGTATGAGAACTTTCTCTAAAATGCAAACTGTGCCACCATATTTTAGGACTACTTAGGATACTGAGCTCTTTCGGGTGTTACTTCTGCACCTGAAAATCCTCACATTTCAAATAAACTAACCAAGCAACTAGTTCAGGCAAGCAGATGATCCACAGTCCTCCATGTAAACATCCCTTGCTGTTCTACAGGCACTCTCTTCTACAGAGAACATGATACCTTGTTTTTAAGAAATGTGGGCAACTATGCATACACCAGGCTTAAAAGGCCTTGAGAGAGATGAATGCTGGTTACCTGTTGGCTGCTGCATACAACCCATCCCTAGGGAAATCTCCCCTCCTTACCTTCTCAATGATCTTTGCCATGTACTCCGTGCACTGGTCCTCCAGCCGGGTCAGCTGAAACAGCTTGGCGATCTTCCAGATGCTGACAACACTTTCCTCATCAAGAACCTGGGCCAAAGTCCTCCCACAAAGGCGCTTGAGCCCAGGTAACAGGTACATGTCTGCGACGCAAAGCACTTCGTAGGCATTATCAGGAGACAGCTGCCGTGACAAAAGGGCATCCATCAAAATGGGCTCGGTATCAAAACTAAAACCCTGTCTGGAAATCACATCTGACTGCAACAGTGACACTCATTTATATGATTAAATGCAATTTATTTATATTCTGCCCAAAGACTTGAAGTTCATAACTAGTTTAAAAGTCTAGGCACAAGCACAACCAAATCAAATACTCACACACAAGACTTAGCTTTGCCAGCTCAAACCAGTGAAAATATTTTACTACACCACCTCTGAAAAATTCTCAGGCCTGGATAAATCTTCAGTTGCAGGGCATTCACCAAGTGCACTTCTGTCTGGATATATTTCCTGACAATGCACAGAAGTCATCACTAAGATGCTCTACAATAGCCTTGGGTATCTAAATATTGATTATTTGCACAATAATTCATTTTGCTACACCTGCTTTTTTTAATGGATCTTTTCAGTAAGCACCCATATAAATATAGGTTTTTAAATTATTATCATCATTTTGCGCCCCCTCACCTTGGCGCCCTGTTGCAGGGGAACCACCTGCACTAAATCCAGTGCTGGGTCTATTATGTCAGTGCTAACCCAGAGCATTCTGCTGCCTGAAGAACAGCCTAAATGGCACCCACCAACATTTCTTTCTGCATCCTTCAGACACCAAACTATGGCCTCATCTCTTCTCTGCCACCACCACCTATAGCATGTTGCTTCACTCTGCTTCAAAGCAGAGCCAGCCCCAATTGTTGTAGGTATTATGAAGTCTGGTGTTAACAAGCTAAACATTGTACTGGGCTCAGAGGGGAAGATCTCCCTATTCTTTTCTTCGAAAGAGTGTTGGGAGAAAATCCTGAATGTCTGTATATGCAGGTCTATTGCTTTTGCCCATTTCACTGTTATTCCAAGGATGAAGAGTTTGCACTGTTCAGTTCCCTCCTCAGTCACTGCATTTTGAAACTTCTTCACAAGGCAAACATTTACCAGAGATGTGTCTTTTTTTACAAAAAAGAAAGAAATGATTTAGGAGGAGGACTAAAACCAAAGTCATCAGGAAGCGAACCTAAGGAGAGTACAGATGTAAAGGCCACATTTTAGCACTATAACTTGTGTACCTTTTTAAAAAGAATTGTTTCAAGGTGGCCAACCATGAAATAAAAACAGCAACAGATGGCGCAAAATGAAGAGCCATTGAAAACAAAGACACATGCCGGGGGAAGCAGATAGCATAAAAAGGCAAGGCAGGTGTCATTAAAAGCCTAACAAAGCAAGAATGTCTTCATCTAGTGCTTAAGAGATAATAGCAAAAAGTGCCAGAAACAAATCAGGGAGTAATTCTAGAATGTGTGCGTCAACCCTGACAAAGCAATCTCTCTCCAACCACCTAACCTCAGAAGGCAGGGAGAAGGCAGGAAAGGGTCTCAGATAGACAAGGAAATTCACTGTTGGGTGAGTTCATGTGGAGAATGTTGCTTCAGACAGCCCAGTCCCAGGTTGTGCTGAACTTTATAGGTAAAAATGTGCCCAGTAACCAAGGAGGAGGCAATACAGCTCTTTTGGCAGTGGCATAAAATGCTCATGACACCCTGTCCCCGGCTATTACTATTCACACTTCTATCATACCCCTTTTACAAGGAGCAGATACAACACCGGTCGCCAGTTTTTAAACCAGCAGAAGTTTCTGGACATTTTTGGAGGGCATTCCCATGAACACTAGCCTTGGCATTACTGTGGGAAAATATAGAAACAAAAAAAGATCCCACTTCTAAGTGGAGTATATAGGGAGATAGATTCATACCTCTGAGCAGTGAATCTACAGTAGTGAATATGTGAGACAGCCTGGTCTGGATGGGCTTGCATGTCCCTGGAAGAGAAATTCTGTACTTTGGGTCTACACCTGGGTCACCTAGAGGTCCAGGTGGCCTCGGTGGCTAGGGGTGTTGGCTTGCCAGCTGTTTCTGACTGGTTTGCCAGCTACAGCTAACTTTGCAACAGAGATGTTGGCCACTGTACCAACATCTGGTAACTTCCAAACTGGATTATTGCACTCTACAAGCAGCTGCACTTGAAGACCACTTGGAAACTTCAGCTAGCCCAAGTGCATCAGCCACATTACTGGCTGGGGTCGCATTTGGAACTTGTAGAACCCTGTCTTAAAACAGCTGCATTAGATGCCACTTCATTTCCAGGCCCAAGTCAAGGAGCTCATTTCAGTGTTTAAAGGCCCCAAACATCCTAGGCACCAAATATCGGAAATGTCACCTCCTTTCCTACAAACTCTATTGGGCCCTCTTGGTTGTTCCACTGCCTTCAGAAGTTCAGCAGGGGTGGGGAATTGGAGAGGGCATTTTTTGTGTCAGCCCCTAAGTTGTGGAATACCCTCCTCACAGTGGTGTTTCTGGTGTCCTCACTATGCAGCTTTCTTCATATGCTGATGAAGATGCATCTCTGACCTTTGACAGTTGATATATGTATTTGTAAGAGCCATCCTGTTTGCTTTAAACTGTTTTTAGTATTTTATTTTAAATTGTTGTGACCTGCCCTGGGACGTTATGGTGAAGGGGAAGTAATTAATAAAAATAACATCTGAAATGCAAAGAAGTTCAGTAGTAATCCATACCCAAATTTTGGAATTACTGAAGAACAGGAATGCTTGTGCTATGGGCCATGATTTTTAAAAGAAACTTCCCTAGCCTTAAAGCAAGAGATGGGTGTGTGTGTGTCAAGAAGAAGATAATTGTTTCAAGAGTTCCTTAGCTTGAAAGAAAACAAGGACAGATGGCTTGGTTGGCAGCTTTGCTTCTTGCCCTGCAGGACGACAGATCAAGGGGGGGAAAGAGATTCATGGTCTCAGAGAGTATTCTGCGGAGCGAAGTGTGCTCTCCCTACATTCTACCCTTTAGCATCTCATTTCCCTACAGTGTGAAATGCCTTCCAGATGCAATGAGATTTAGGGTAAGAGTCTGACAACAACTAGCTGAAGATGGCTCTCAGTCTCTCCACACACCCCACCCCAGCACAACATGTAAGTATTCTGAGGCAGGAGTGGGGAACCTATAGCCTTCAGTCACACTCCCAAAAATCCCAGCCAGCACAACCAATGGGGTCCAGCAACATCTGGTCCCCCAGCCCTGCTCTCTAAAGGAACAGCACACAAAACAAGGCAAACGGCAGCTCCGAGAGAGCCAGCCAATGTATAATTCCACTGGAGGAGAGGGAAAGCTGCAGCTATTTTTCAGTTCTGAAAGTGCTCTTGCTTTCCAGCTTGCTGCGTTTCTGAGCTCAGAGCAGTGAGCTGGAGCTTGCTCACTGCATGACAGGGATTCAATTTCCTTGGGAATGAGATTACCACCTCCCACTTCACCTGTCAGTCCTGTAGCTGACGGGAGACTGCAGCCAAAATGCATATGCACTTCTCAGGATATTAACGAGACATTTGACAAGCCTTTCTTTCAGTGATGGCTTCATCCCCCAAACCGTTGTTGCTGAGTGTTGCTGCCACAGATTCGCCACTCGCTTGCTTAGACAGCACCACAACAGGCTGCTGATGTTGACAGCGCCAACACTTTTGCTCCACAGTGACCAAAAGTTCTGCGTCAACTTTTGGTCGACAGGCAAATGCCTGTAACCATTTTGACAGCATGGACACCACCCTGAAGTTTTTCATTTCCTACATTTGCAGACCCTCTGGTTACTCAAAACACAACACACACTCAACAATTCCTTAAGCATCCTGTGCCAAGTCCTGTGCAACAAGTGCAGGATTCACACACTCCAGTATTCAATCTAGATTAGGACTTCTGGGAAAAGTGCAACCACGCCTTTTGTTCTGAATGAGACAAGCAGCAGTACAAACAGGAGAAAACAGTGCATCTCTAGCCAGTTCACTGTGTATTGGCACTGCCCCCTAGTGGCAGACTGACCACCCTATGTATTCTAGTGCTGTCACAGAATTCCTCAGATGAGTGAGTACTCCCAGTTGGCATCAGAAAAAATGGACCACATGGGGGCAAGAAAGCAGTCAGTATGAGAGACAGGTTGACTTAAGAGGATATATTTTTATCCATGGTGGTTGTTTCTTGTCATTTACGGATGGCTGCACTGCAGTCTTGTAAACAATGTTGACGTCTAACCTCAAATAAAATTCAAGCATTTTGGGGGGAAGGACGTAAGACCCACTAGAAAAGGGAAGAAAATGGGGGAAATGTTTATTGAAGCAACAAGGGACTGCTGCATGGCTTTTTATGGTGATGTATTAATATGCAGTGAAAGATAAGCGAAAGATTCAGGGTAAGCTGAATAGCTGTTGGCTAGAGCACGGTGCTGATACCTGCACCATGGTTGCAGGTTCGGTCTGCATATGGGACAGCTGCATTTTCCTGCATTGCAGGGGGTTGGACTAGATGATCCTCAGGGTCCCTTTCCAACTCTATGATTTCACAGGAAAAGATAGGGTTCTTTTATCCCATGGTTGGGACATTTGCAAGTTAACAGGCCTCATTCAATAAGCTTAATACTCTGCTCCCACCACACAGTGGCAATTCTGGCACTTTTCTCCTAGGACCACAGCAGTCCTTGCAAGAACAAACGTTCCAGAAATGGGCTGTGCTCAGAAAGGGTGAAAATTGAAAACTCACCTCTGTGTCATCACTGTAGATGTAATAGAGGACCCTGATGAAGATTTCCTCTGAAATGTTATGGAGGGTAACTACAGGGATGCTAGGTTGGGTCTGCAGCTCCTCGCTTTCAGAGAAGTGATCCTCTAGGAGTGCTTTGAAATAGTCACTGCGGCCACAGAAAAATGCCTGCAAGGAGAGAAGAAAGCAGGAATCTCCCTGGCTCAGCATTGCCCTGCACACCAGGAGAGCAACCAGTTTATTTATTACATCTACCTCCCAAGGGAGTCCAAGGCAGCTCACTTATCAGTGATATAATACAGCTTAGGAAACCCACACATTTAAAGAACGTAGAAACATACAGACAATTCTCAACTTATGCGGCTAACACATGTGCTCAGACTGCTGGCCTCAGCATAGCAGGTACTGGCAGTTCACACTAGCTCACTTAGTAGACCTGGGAACATGAAAAAGCATGCGGTGAGCTTCTCATTTTCAGCTGGAGGCTCTATAATTGTTGTCTTCAGTGTTACATAGCACTGCAGCCATGTGGCTGAGAAAAGCGGTCAGGCAGAAACATTTAATACCAATCACCTCCAAGAGATAGTGGGATAGTTCGTACCAAGGACTAAGTCCCACAAAACTCAGTGTGACTTACTTCTGAGAAGGCAGGCATAGGATTCTGTTGTGTAGTAGACAATCAGCATGCTCATGAATTGCAGTGAGGACTTCCTTAGAACCCCTGCTCCCCCTGCTCCCGCAACGTAGTGTTACAAATCTGTCTGGCTTTAGAAATATACCTTAAAGGGAAAGGTACCCCTGCCCGTACGGGCCAGTCTTGACAGACTCTAGGGTTGTGCGCCCATCTCACTCAAGAGGCCGGGGGCCAGCGCTGTCCGGAGACACTTCCGGGTCACGTGGCCAGCGTGACATCGCTGCTCTGGCAAGCCAGAGCCACACACGGAAACGCCGTTTACCTTCCCGCTAGTAAGTGGTCCCTATTTATCTACTTGCACCCGGGGGTGCTTTCGAACTGCTAGGTTGGCAGGCGCTGGGACCGAGCAGCGGGAGCGCACCCCGCCGCGGGGATTCGAACCGCCGACCTTTCGATCGGCAAGCCCTAGGCGCTGAGGCTTTTACCCACAGCGCCACCCGTGTCCCATAGAAATATACCTTGGTATGTGCCAAATTGGAAGATGCAAGCGAAAAAGCTGCCCTAGTAAATTAAGTCAATATGAATACATACCTTGTGACACAAGAAATTGTATTCTGCCACCCGGAAACAAACGTCAGGACAGCTGCTAAAGTTGTCAGTGCTGTCAAAAGGCAACTCTCCAAAACCTACCTGTACATACAGAAACGGGGGGGGGGATTTGTTATGACACCTTCTGTATTAGTAACCCTTTTAAAATAAATACCTATCACCAGACAGAAACATTCCTCTATACTTAAGCAATAAATCCTAAAGTATTCTCGCAAGGCATTAACCAAGCTTTGTAAGACTAAGGGTGCATTCAGACGATCACCTCTACTTTTTAAAAAAGTTTTTAATTTCATTTCAGTGAATCTAGCAAATAAAGCCATCAGTAATAACAACTTCAAAACATAGAGCTGCAGAGCAGGATGTAAATAATAATTTGGGTAAGAAGATGAATATACAGAAGTTTACAATATCCAAATCTCTTAAATCTGCAGAACTTTAGTTTTGCCAACCTGCATCCTGATTCCAGGATTTATTACATTAAGAGATAAAGTAAAGGGCATAAAAATTAACACATGACAATTCCTTAAGTAGTAAATTAAACACATGTATACCTATTTTCCTAATAGGTAGAGCTGTAATAGCTATAGATCGGGGATTGGGGAGAGAAAAGATGGCTTTGGAATTTCAGTGCATAATTTGACCATCATGGTGTTTTGCTATTGATGGGGTCTGAAAAACAAATCAGGCTAACATAGTAAAATGCAGAGAGCTGAGATTACAAAGATTTGTTTTTAAATAGTAAGTGAACTGTAGGACAGGGATATTAACATTTAGTCTTAGGAGATTATCGATCGTTCCCAAATATTACTAATATACACAGCTGCTGTCAGTTATTCACTGAACAAAATTTGTGGGACAAACAGCAGCTTTGTCTCCTTGTTCCTGTTGTTTTATACAGTGAAGATTAACACACCAAAACACAACATATTTAATGACTAATCTTGAGGAAACATGATATTCTGTGTATGTACCAAAAGCTCCTGAAAGAAAGCTGGGCGGGTAAATATGCCAAATTTTGATGTTCGATATTTTGGCCAAGAGTGGAAAAACAAACTTCTTTTTTTATATATAAAGTGCTAAAAACAACTATAATCCTGTAACAGGGAATATTATATCTGGTGTTTTGTTTTTTTTTTAGGAAAAAAACATTACAGGAGGTTGACTATTTGAGGGAGGGTACACATGCACAAGGACTGCCTCTGTATATGAACTGTCGGAGACCCTGCAATCATCATCTGAGGTCCTTCTTCATGGGCCCCTCCGCGAGTGGTCCAGAGGGTGGCAACATGAGAACAAGACTTTTCTGTGGTGGCTCTCCGCTTGTGGGGTGCTCTCCTTAGAGAGGCTTGCCTGGCACCTTCATTATGCATCTCTAGGTGCCAGGAGAAAATGTTTGTTTGTGGGAGGGGGTTATTGGTTTGTTTTTGGGGGGGTTATTCTGTAGTTTGTGTTCTCATTTTGTATTTTTATGTTGTCGACCACCCTTTAGCCTTCGGGTGAAGGGTGATATATAAATTTTATAAATAGTAAGAGTAATGATGTTTTGACCACATTGAGGGTGAGGGTGCAGGAACCTATGCTCCTTTTCTTACTCCCTCCCTTATGGAGCCCAAATTCCACCAGTAGCTCTTAACCATAATTAACCGTCACGTCAATAATCAACATTTTGTTAAGTGACATTAACCATAGTTAAAGCTCGCCAGGGTCTGAAGCCAGTTTCAAACCACACTTTGGCTTTTGGGCAGGTGGCAGGGAAGAGAAGAGGTGAATTTGGGTTCCGAAAGGGAGAGGGTAGGTGAAGGGAACCAATGATTCTGCAGTGCAGTCCCAATTTGCCTTAACTATATTTAACCAAATCAGCTGTGTTACAATGTATAGTTGTCCTGAAACCAGGAAGATAAAACAAAACTGTCCAAGGCAACAGGAATGAAAATGTGTTTTAGAAACAAGCAGTGAAATGGGCAGGTTTGCTTCACTATATACTTCTGATGTGGGAGCAGAAAAAAATAGTGACAATTTTTTCCTATGCTTGGCATTTTCCACTCCCTACCAGCAAATGTTTGGAGGGGGTAGAGAAGATTCCCTCCATTTATGGCCAGTGGCAGCAGCACAGTGGTAACTTGGCATGTGCCAAAGAGACAACCCAGTAGAAGAGAGCTCCCTTTCCTCGGTGTGAATTTACCACATGGAATTGTCTTAAGCACAAGAAAGCAGAAGGTTTTAATAAACTGTTCAGATTTATATGCACAGAAACTCCCTAATATTAGGGCTATATTTTATTAGTTTACTTTAGTTACAAATTCAATAAAAGGGCTGAACCCATTTAAAACAAATAAAAATTTGAAAAAGGGTTCTACATATAAATTGCACATATGCGCGCAGAAAACCTGAGAATTAAGACACTGATCAGTGCAGTCACAGGGTATCTGCTCATGGGTTTCACCACAGTGGCAAATGGACATGCTTCCATTATCTGCCACAAATCTAAAACAGAAATCAGGCATCTTCCCCTTGGGCACTGGACTGAACTCATTTGGGTGTCCAAAATTTTCCCTGTGGGTCATTATGAAATTTGAGAATGTGCAACAGAAAGCCTACGCACAAGAGCACTTCCTGCATCCATGATCTGCACCATGTTGCAATGGGCAAAGTGCCAAGCCATAGAAAAGCAACCATGCTGTACCAGGGAACAATAAAGCAGCACAATCTGGCACTCAGAATCCAAAATATCCAGGAATCACATTCCTAACACCAAAGCAAGTAGAACCAGAAGATCAAGATACATGCAGCACACCCTTATCTCTCCCACCTCACTGTTTTCATATCATTAGAGGCCAGAAACGATTTCCCATGAAAATAAGACCTTTTGACCAAAAGTTGAGGACTTCTACAATAAAATGATCTGAGCAGTGCTATTAATTAATGCCCAGCTTATATGTCACCACATTTCATGTTCTGGTCACAGGCTCTCCTGAAAGTTGAGACAGTCAAGATAGTTTAGCCACGTTCTTACAGAAGACCAACAATGGAACAGGCCAAATCTAGAGTATTACTTCATGGAGAGAGACCACAGTATGTTGGACTCCCAAAGAAGAGCGAAGAAGACAAATGGCTGTTTCAGGACCAAACAGGGCATGGCATTTGCCACTTCTATTTCACACTACCAAATATAGGAGAATAACAGGCTGTAAGAGAGTGGAATAGCCCAGACATAGCAAAGCAGACCACCCGGGTCTTTTTTTTATTTTATTGGGGGAACCTCTCTCACACACTTTCAGTCATGTACCAAAAGTACAGAGGAGCATGGAAGCTCCCATGCAGACATTCCGCGCAACTATCTCCTCTTTCACACAGCAACGTGGATGCCTGAGAGGGAGCAGAAAGGAGTAGATGTAAGGGAATCCAGCAAGATTGGTGCCCTGACAGCATGGAAGCAGGAGCTGACAACGTTCAACTCTAGCGGAGTGGCTGCTGCACAACCTAAAGAGAGCAAACCAGAACAAATTGCAGAAGTGCAGGACTCCTGAGGGCTTAACTGGCAGGACCCTGGAAGAAGAGGGAGGGAAAAACATATACTTCCTACCCTGAGTTCAGCTGGCAGGGCGCAGTCTGCTAGCAGAGCCAGGTCTTCCTGTAGCCGCGAGTTACCTGGGGGCTCAATCGTCAGCACCTTCACACAGGTCCCTGGCTTGGAAGAAACTGGAAGAGGCAAAAAAAAAAAAATATTCCAAAGTATAGAATCCTGAAGACTATATGGACATCCTCTTGGGAATGTGATGGATAAAGTTATCTGGGGATGTTTTTAAAATTCAAGGATGGCCCACACCCCTTATATGCAAATGTTAGGCAAATAAATAAAGCATTTAAAAAAAAATTATGGAAGAGACTGCTAAGCATTATGTTTTCCTCCTCCTTTGAAAAGCTCTGGCTACAGAAAAACAAGTAGAATTTTTCCACACAAAACTCATGCTCATGACTGCTTCTGTTACTGCTTTCACAGAGCAGTAGGCCTTCCTTTGTAAGAGATTTGCATGCATTTTGAGATTTAGATTTATGACTACACGGCTGGGGGGAGGGGAGGGGGGAATAATGCCTACTAGTTGGCCAAAAAGGCATCTTGAGAGCCAAAGGGAAGTTCTTATTTGCCATCTTCCCCACAAGACCAGAGAGTATGCACATGCTCTGCCGAATTAATATCTGTGATCAGGCACCAATGCACACACCACCAATACCACAGCTAAAGATGGGGGGGGGGAGTTTATCAGTGCCCAACAACATGTAGCGATTCAACTGAACATGTGCATTTTAAAAATGGCAAATTCTATTGATATCACCCATCACTCATTCATACATTAAACAGATTACATGAGGTAGGCAGACAAACAAAAATGGTTCTCTTCAGCAGCATTCACATCCCCATTAAGTTGCTGGTATTAAATTCCGCATCTTTATATGGTTAATCAATATGAAACTGCTTCCAGATCAGAAGTGGGAGAGCCAATGGGTGTCCTCCAGATGTTGCTGGACTCCAGCTCCCATCAGCCCAACCAGCATGTGAAATAGTCAGGGATTATGGGAATTGAAGTCCAACAATGCCTGGAAGCCCTCAGGTTCCTCACATCCCTGTTCCATAGTGACCTCTTTGGGGGTGTTCACGGACATGTGAAAATGGTTTCAGAGAAAAACACTAACACATCTGACCTGGTAATTGCCATGCAACCGCTTAGTCATTTCTGGAGTAAGCCTTTAAACAGAACTCCTCTATCTACCCTCGGGATCCAACATCTACAGGGAGCAGAGAGAAATCAGGCAGCTTATCCTCATTTAGCATGATTCTTTGGGAAAGACACTGTTCGCTCCCAATCTCTCTCCTACATGCTAAAACCACATTGATGTGCACTGGTTAAACATGCAAGCTGTAAAAACTCTGGCGACAATTTTACGTCAGCCCTCACTATGGGGTCCTTGAAAAAGCCACTGCCTTCAGCTCTGTAGTGTGGTGGCTCACACTGACCCACTTTTCGGGGTTGTTCCAAGGATTGCAGAAGGAATGTAAAACAGAGTGCTCTAAATTCTCAAAAAGGCTATATAAATGCCAAGTAGGATTACTACTATAGTGAACTTCTCTTCAAAAAGAGGAAAAAATACTTGAACACCCTCCTAGCATAAGGACAACAAATAATCATAATAAAAAAGTCAAGTGGTGCTGCTCGTTCCCAAACTCTGGGTGGCTCAGGGTTGGATGGGCCTTCATAAATGCTGAGGGGATCCAATACTCTTAGGAAATAAAGGATTGCTTTACTGTATGAGCACCAAGCCACTCCACTGCACTGCATGAAAACAAGCTGGCACTTGATGTTATGGTCCAAAGGGGTGGGGGAGGAATACACCAAAAAAACAATGTTGGGCGAGATCAGAACAGAGCTTGTACCTGCCCTGGCAATTAACTGAATCTCCTAAAGGAAGCCTGTCTCACAAATATGGAAATAATGGCCCAATTTGCACACAACACTAAAGCATGGTTCAGCATAAAATACAAGAGCAGGAAGGATCTATTGGGACGATCAGACATTCCCCTCCCCTTGCCTTGAGCTACCATGCTCACTTTTCCTGCATGGTTTGGAGAATGAGTTCATCAGAATTTAGTTTCCCTTTCTAGGGAACCTGACTTGGCAATATGAACGAATGAGAAATAATGGTTTAAAACAAGCTCTGAGCCAACTTCAAATCATACAGTTAATGAAACTGGCACTGGAAGGGACATGAGTGGCGCTGTGGGTTAAACCACAGAGCCTAGGACTTGACGATCAGAAGGTCAGCGGTTCGAATCCCCGCGACGGGGTGAGCTCCCATTGATCGGTCCCTGCTCCTGCCAACCTAGCAGTTTGAAAGCACATCAAAGTGCAAGTAGATAAATAGGTACCGCTCCGGCGGGAAGGTAAACGGCGTTTCCGTGTGCTGCTCGGGTTCACCAGAAGCGGCTTAGTCATGCTGGCCACATGACCCGGAAGCTGTACGCCGGCTCCCTTGGCCTATAGAGCGAGATGAGCGCCACAACCCCAGAGTCGTCCACGACTGGACCTAACGGTCAGGGGTACCTTTACCTTTACCTATGAACTGGAAACTATAGTATAACACAACTGTAGTTTCATAAACCATGGTTTGAAGCCGGCTTGTTCAAAGACTAACCAGAGCTTGTTTTAAAGAACAATCTCTAGCTCATAAAAGCAAGCCATGTTTTGTGGAAAGTGAAACTAAGCTCTGCTTAAATCCACCTCTCTGCTATGAGAGAGGGAAGGGAGTATGCAAGTATGAGGCTCCTGGCTGCTTTTTCCTTGTTGCTCATATTAACACAGCCATCATCTGCGTTCATCATCTATGAATATTTCCTTGTTGTTCATATTACATAGCCATTTCAAGAATTAAAGTAAGGGAATAGATCACTAACTGTTGATGAAGAAGTGGTCGTTTAGTGCATGTCTGGGCACTTGTTGGCATGTACACATATGTAGTTCCTTACTGTAAGTGCTACCTACATGTTATGAGTCTCCAAAGCCTTGCTGTATGAAGAAGGAGCACCTGAATAGCTTGGTACAGTAAAGCAAGCTGCTGTGATCAATACTAAATCATTAACAAGTAGTATGTATTTATGATGCCATATTGATTTCAGCTTGTGATTATTACACAGTGTTATTTGTCTCCTCCTCCTACACCCAGCTCACGTGGTCTTTATTTTAGGGAATGTTATTTATATCTTTTGTTAATACAGAGAACTTGTTTATAATAATATGAACAAAACTGCTATTTCAGCACCTTTGGTATTAAGTGGTTTATCGTGGAAAGAGGTTTTGTAACCAAGGGCTGAAAGCTAGCAATATACCAAAAGTCTTCATTGGTTTATACTTGGGAGTTCAGCAAGAAAAGGAAGTTATTCCTGAGCTGGCTAAGTTAACTCTGCATCGGAACAAGAGGTGGTACGACAAGCGTGACTCAATGGATTTAGAACTTGTCTCCAAATCTCAGGTGACTCACATTGCCATAATAAATTGCCGCTCTTGACATTTTACAGATTACACAGGGATGTCATCTTACCACAACATTGAGAGGTGGGTGAAAGAAGACTGCCACAGTACAATATCTTTCTTCCCAACCCTCCTGCCCCAAATTAACGAGTTGTATATGCCTCAGAAGTGTGATTCTAAACAGGCAATACAATGCCTTTCAACAGATACACCATTACTGTCAGCAGGTAAAGAAATTATACCTTTTGCCACTTGAAACTTTGCTTCAACATATGAAGGTGGTGGGTAGGAGGAAAGACTGTTTCTTTCTCACTCTTTCCTTCACATGAGAGACTACCAACTTCTCAACAGGAATCTCAGGAAATGACAATTCCCTGCCCCTCCTTTTGTTAATTGTGAGGAGCTACATCAGGGTTACGTTATGGTAGAAGACAGAAGAGGAAGGGAGATAGATTAGATCTGCTGGCACAGAGCAGGCATAGGCAAACCCGGCCCTCCAGATGTTTTGGGACTACAACTCCCATCATCCCTGACCACTGGTCCTGTTAGCTAGGGATGATGGGAGTTGTAGTCCCAAAACATCTGGAGGGTCGAGTTTGCCTATGCCTCCACTAGATCATATTGTACTGAACACTTAATCTCTACAAAAAGCTTCCTTCAGTCCTCAATAAAGTCGCAATAACCCCAACCAACCTATTGTTCTGAAACTTATAAACACATGTAAATGAATATTTTCAACTAGAAACAGAGAGGGAAAACCCTGGTGCAGATGATTCTATGATGTGTCTGGATGAGCATTAAAAATTGGAAAGCAGATGAGGAGTGTGGACACTCAAGCAACATGTGTTTAATGGTAAAACACATACTGTACTGGGATCATTTTTATTTAGCAAATACTGTCAAGTATGATCCCATGTCCACTTCTAAACTGAGTCTAAACTGAGTAAACTGCCTGAAGTTCTTGGGGGATACATCAGACCATGAATTAACTTAATTTTGCAAAAATGGGGGTATTCACTGGAAGGAAAAATCAAGGAGCTCAAGTTTCTTTAGGATGTTAATCCCCATTAAAAGCAGCACTGGAGAAAGCACATCACACAGACTGATTGACTGACTGACTGACTGATTGATTGATTGATTGATTGATCGATTAAGGCTTCCCTTTAGAAGTTGTGTCTAGTTCAAATGAGGACAGCATAAACTTAGGCAAAACAAGTGGAAGTTGATGAGGCACAGAAAAGAGAATTTGTAGCTTATTATAAAAGTGTTAAGACATATTTTTAAATGGGAGCAGAAAATCTAGGGAGACAGTTGGGCAATTAGATGACCGAAGAGTGAAAGGATCGCTAGGAGGAGCATAGGGAAATTTCAAAGAAGCTGCATGAATTTTTCACTGTAAAAGATATTGGACAGATACCCACACAAGGACTTATTGCTGCCATGCAACACTAGAACTCAAGGTCACCCAATGAATTCAGGACGGAAAAAGGAAAACAAGGAATTGTTTATGGAATTCACTGCCACAGGATGTAGTGATGATTCAGAAGGCAATTAAACAAACACGATGAGTAACTGGAAACTCCAAATTTCAGAGGCAGGATGATAGAGGGGCTGGGAGCTGGGGGCACTGTTATACAGTGGCTCTGCTCCTTCCTCCTGGGCCGTGTCCAGAAAGTGGTGTTGGGAGATGAGTGTTCAGACCCCTGGGCTCTCACTTGTGGGGTGCCTCAGGGTTCCGTCCTCTCCCCCATGCTTTTTAACATCTATATGAAGCCGCTGGGAGAGATCATCAGGGGGTTTGCGCTGGGTGTTGATCAGTATGTGGATGATACCCAGCTCTACCTCTTTTAAATCAGAACCAGTGAGGGCAGTGAAGGTCCTGTGGGAGTCTTTGGAGGCGGTTGGAGGATGGCGGCTAAGTACTGTTTTGCAGGGACAGGGGGTGGGCAGGTGTAGAGGATTCCCTGGTCCTGAATGGGGTAACTGTACCCCTCAAGGACCAGGTGAGCAGCCTAGGAGCCATTTTGGACCCACAACTGTCCATGGAGGAGCAGGTCAGTTCTGTGTCCAGGGCAGATGTCTACCAGTTCCATCTGGTACGCAAGCGGAGGCCCTACCTGCCCACAAATTGTCTCACTAGAGTGGTGCATGCTCTGATTATCTCCCGCTTTGACTTCTGCAATGCGCTTTACATGGGCGACCTTTGAAGGTGACCCAGAAACGACAACTAATCCTGAATGCAGCAGCTAGACTGGTGACTGGGAGAGGCTGCCGAGACCATATATCACCGGTCCTAAAGGATCTTCATTGGCTCCCAGTGCATTTCCGAGCACAATTCAAAGTTTTGGTGCTAACCTTTAAAGCCCTAAGCGGCCTTGGCCTTGTACACCTGAAGGAGCGTCTCCACCCCCATCATTCAGCCTGGACACTGAGGTCCAGCACCAAGGGCCTTCTGGTAGTTCCCTCAATGTGAGAAGTGAGGCTACAGGAACCAGGCAGAGCGCCTTCTCGGTAGTGGCATCCGCCCTGTGGAATGCCCTTCCATCAGATGTCAAGGAAATAAACAACTACCTGATTTTTAGAAGATGTCTGAAGGCAGCCCTGTTTAGGGAAGTTTTTAATGTTTGATGTTTTATTGTGTTTTTAATATTCTGTTGGGAGCCACCCAGAGTGGCTGGGGAAACCCAGCCAGATGGGTGAGGTATAAATAATAAAACTATTGTGTTTATTATTATTATTATTAGGCAGAAGGCAGCTGTTGACTTCACATCCTGCTGGCGGACTACCTAGAAACATCTGGCTGGCCACTGTGGAAAATATGCTGTAGTGCTAGATGGACTATTGGCCTGACAAAGCATGTTCTTAAGATGGATGCAAAGAGACTGAAATGAACGCCTGTGTGCCTAGTGGCAAGTCTGGTTCCTCTCCTTAACATCCTCTCCTTATGCTTTGCAATTGTGACAGGCTCAATGCGAACAAAGTTAAGGCTCAGCACTATTTCAGTCATCCACCTAACAGATTACCTAGCCTTTGGGTACATGTGTGTTGTTAGGAACAGATTTCTCCCCTACTTGGTGGGTGCATGCAATTTGTTTATTGTAGTTTTAACTTGCAGAATCTGTTTCAAGTACATTCACAGAACTGTTCCAAAGGGAAACTGGCAGCCTGGTGCCAATTTAAACTCAGAAGCCAAAAGCATATGCAATTTGCTTTCAAGGAGGACTGAGTCAGCCTATATTTCCTATCCAGGAGACACTAAGAAGCAGCAAGATATTCTTTTCTGGAAGAGGAAAAAGAACATTGTCAGAGGGCTGTATATGGAGATGCTTTTGTTTGAAGTTTCTAGCTCATTTAGAAGATAGCAATTTTCTGCTTGAAGTGCTTAGATAACGCAGATGAAGTGCAAGCTGAAGAACAGAACAGCTAAGTGAGGCAGCCTCCTCCTCTCAAGACCGCCCCCCTCCAGATGTGTTGTCTATGGCACAGAGAGTTTTTAAAAGACCAATTTGTGTCATGAGTTTTGGTAAAGCACTTTATCACAAGTTTCTGGGAAGTGGACCACTATGATGGGCTGCATCTTTCAATCTATGACAGCAATATTGCAGTAATTAAGATTTCGGAACAGATGTAATACAAATGTGAGCATGGTCAGTCAAAAGTAAATAGCTTTTGGTGACAGCAGCGTCAGTAAGATCAACTCACATTTATAAAGTGTCAAGAAAATGGACAAGGCAGCAGCAGCAATTAACATTCATTTAGCACCAACAAGGGTCCAGACGCATGAAAGCAAGGGACTTGTGCCTCTAGGACACCAGTCCAAATGCTTCCTTCTTCCCCAGTGGGAAAAGTGGGAAGCTGAATGGAATATAGTATATTTTGTAGTTTTTGCAACATGGCTAGCTATGCCAGGGTCAAAGCTTAAGTGTTACCAGTACTAAAGGCAGCAGTGGCAGAAGAAGATGTTAAGAGGGGATTGTCAATAAAGGATGCTCTAGCACCTTCAGTTTTGAAGACAGCAGCATATAGAAGCAAGCTAAACTGTTCCTTTCATCACTTAAGGGTTTCTCACAAATGGTGAGAAGCAGAGTACAAAATAATCCTAAAGAAGTGTAAATTTATGATCTGCCTGGCCAACTATTTAAATTCTGATGTCTAATATGAGTGCTACAAAACAAACGACAGCCTTAGCCTTTCAAAGTGTCCAAGAGAGAAAGCAACTCCACTGGTGCAATGGACCTTGGTGTGTGTGTGTGGGTGGGTGGGTGGCAGGGATGACACCAGGTGGTAGTCTTAGTACACAACCAAGGCAGTAAAGCAACTTGTGTTAACCACCTGACTTTTTCCATCTGTGAAGAAATCATAACTATGCATTTCTGGGAATAAGAGTTTATTAGCATCAATCAGCTTAACCTAAAATAAAAGAACTGAAAAACTGTGTAATTAGAGATGCTGAAATATAATCAAACATTAACACAAATATAGCTAAATTAGTTATTCATTATCTCTTTAAGGTGATGAGAGCATGGTTTTTATTAAACTATGCTCATGGGTTATGAAATTCAACTATTCTTAACACACTTGCAGAAAACATACAATACAGGGTGTGAAATATCTATCTGCATCTATCAAGCATTACTACAATACATTATTGTTTGATAGCTACACAGTTAACCTTACAAAACAAGCAAGCAACCTATATATTTAAGCCTGGGAGGGAGCTCCTCAAGTATCCAGTTCAAGATTAATCGTATCTGGTTTAGAGATGAATTTTTTGCTTGCCTCATTTTCTGCAACCTATATCATCCAGTTTAGAAATGGCCTGGAGCCCCACTAAATATTTAAGTTTGATTTCTCGTCTGTTCTTCCTTGATTCATGATCCCAGGGTGGGTTACAGCAATAGAATACATTTAAAACCATGACAGTGTCAAATAATGTACCATTTCAGAATATAGCACTACTGTACAAAGATGGATAACTAAGCTATTTACGAGTGAGTTGCTTATTATTCCAAGTATTTATATTCCAGATCATGGGAATGGTCCTTAGGCAGGTAATATTCAAATAGCAGATTGCTGGACCATACCCATGTGTCCCTGTTATGACATATCACAACTCTTTCTAGAAAACAAGAATGCTGCAAAGGCTTATGCTAAGCACAATTAAATGTCCCATTAGAGTGCTCACCCACTAGTATATACATAGCACAGTAACTTGATGTACAACGGAGACAGAACTTTGTCACCAAATTAAGGGCACATGAATCTACCCTACCTCTCCTTAGTCACTGCACCTATAAGCCTGAAGATCTTGCCCATGTTAGTGCAAGACCTACACAGTTTCTAAAAGCAACAGATTTGGCCTGTTATTTACATTTTAATTACTTTCCAGATAGACTACTGCAGTACAGCATGTGAGACATTGAAGACGATCCTAGATGGCCTAAGACCAAATAACTATTAGGAACACTTACTTTGTTGCCTGCATGGGCTTTAAAATCAGCTTGGAAGTTCCTTTTCTCTGTACCACTTCAAAATATCCATTGGGTAACTTACAGAAGGCAGGACATTTTCTGTGGGTGCTACAATTCTAGAACACCTCAATCAGGAAATCTTTCCACTAAGTATTTGAAGACATTTTTGTTTGGTTGGGCTTTCACTGTGTAATTTTAGATCTTGCTCTTGACTGACTTTACCATCCTGGAGACCCATCTTGGCTGTGAATCCTGGAAGACCTGCTCCCTGCCTTGCAGGCCTTTTCCCCCCTGGCCTGGGAGGGCAGGGAGGACTGACTCCAGTTACAAAAGCTAGGGCTGCTGAAAAGGCCAGAGACCATCATAGCTGTCTCTTAGTACAAGTCATCAAGCCTGAGCTTCCACACCTGCCAACCACCATGGGCAGGACTGGCAGCAATAGCAGCAGGTATGTTCTAAACAATATTTCATTCTCTTGCTAATTATGCAGTTTCAAATGTGCATATTATATTTAACTTCCTATAGTAATGTTTTCTTTTGAAATGTTTAAGTTTTGAAATGTGGAACAGTCTCCCTCGCGAGGTTGTGGACTCACCTCCCTTGGAGGTTTTTAAGCAGAAGTTGGGTGGCCACCTGTCATGGATGCTTTAGCTGAGATTCCTGCATTGCAGGGGGTTGAGTCCCTTCCAAATATTCATATATTCTTTAATAAAATTTTTTGTTAACTTCACTACACTAAATGTGTATTCTGTAGTTGACTTATTTTGTAATATTTTATTTTGAAATCTTTCAGATAATATTTTAGTTTCCTGTTAATTACATTGCTTTGAATGTATACGTGATTTTTTGACTCTCTTCATTAATGCTTTATTGTGCATTGTTTTATTTGATGTTTTAACCTGTTGTAAACCACTTTGAGAATTTTTTCTTTAAATTATAAAGCAGTATAGAAATGGAAAATAAATAATAATAATAATAATAATAATAATAATAATAATAATAATAATAAAATTAAAGAATATTTCATATTGTTAATTGCTTATCTGCATGGTGTACTGTGATTGTTTTGAGCACTTTAGGACAACAGCGGAACAGAAAAAAGTTATTACTAGAATTTTTAGCTAATTAATATAAGCTGTTCAGAAAAAAGGCAGCTTTCCACTTTCTTATATAAAATGCCAGTCTGAGCAATTTGGACCTTACCAAATTCATGCACCTTTTTACACTTGGTTTCCAAGTCTTCGATGAGATCCTGGAGCCGACATTGTTTTGCCAATCTTTTGCAGTCGCTCACATATTCTACATCTATGTCTAAACGGCCTGGCAAAAGAAAAGAAAAGAAAGCAAATGACCCTTTCAATTCTCCCTATTATTTATTCACCAACACGTAAAATTCATCCTTATATCCACAGCTGCAAATTTATGTTTCAGCACCCCCCTGTGACTTAAGGAAGGACTGCATTTATATTTTTGAGAAGATCACTTGTACAGCTAGTACAGCAACTTCTTTTGAGCCATATTGCATGTTGCTTTTCAGATATATGTCCTGAGAAATTTTTTTTACCTTTTGTATCTTTATTATTTTAGACTGCAAACCATCTTGAATGGATTAACAGTACAAAATTGTAGTAAGGGTGACATCCAATGTTAGCGATACTGGTATAGGCCTATTAAAATCAGTGGACTTGAGTCCATTAATTGCAATGAGCCTACAAAGAATATGACAGAGATGCATGCCGCCCTAAGTAAACAAATAGACTATAGATACACAACTTGGTTGACTATCACCCAAATAAATAAAATATGGATGCACATGTCTACATATGACAAAGCCAAGAAATGTTACATACAAGTCCGTCAATTCTGATAACTACAATACAGTGGTGCCCCGCAAGATGAATGCCTCGCAAGACGGAAAACCCGCTAGACGAAAGGGTCTTCCGTTTTGGAGGTGCTTCGCAAAACAAATTTCCTATGGGCTTGCTTCGCAAGACGAAAATGTCTTGCGAGTTCCTGCAGGGTTTTTTTCCTTTCCCCCCCCTTTTTCCCAAGCTGCTAAGCCGCTTATCAGCTGATCCGCTAAGCCGCTTATCAGCTGATCCGCTAAGCCGCTTATCAGCTGATCCGCTAAGCCGCTTAACAGCTTATCCGCTAAGCCGCTTAACAGCTGATCTGCTAAGCCGCTTATCAGCTGATCCGCTAAGGCGCTAATCAGCTGATCCGCTAAGCCCGCTAAGCCGCTAATAGCGCTAATCCGCTAATGGGCTTGCTTCGCAAGATGAAAAAACCGCAAGACGAAGAGACTCGCGGAACGGATTCTTTTCGTCTTGCGAGGCACCACTGTAATGTAGCTATTATTTCAATTGGTATGCCACTTTCCCACATACATCTGCCCAAAGCAATGAGCAAATGTAGAGAAGGCTAATCCAGAATCCCTTCTATAGGTTTAATCCACATGTCCTACATGTTAAATAAAGATGCATGTGTCACTTTCTGTATCCTTCTGTATTTCAAGGTACTCCTGTCTTATAAAAGCAAAAAGAGGAGCAACTTCAATAGCCAGATTCATACATATTCCTGAGTACAAATATCCAGAAACGTATGACCATTGTCTAGTGAAGGATAAGGACCTTTGTTCACTAAAAACAAACAAAAATAAGACAAACGTTTATTCTTTGCTATTCCTTTGGTAGCTCCAATCCAGAGCTGTGCTCTGGAATTGGGAGGAACCCTATTGGCATATGCAAATGGAGGTAGAAAAACATGTTAGCACTGTCTGTGCCTGGTTAGAATGCCCAACCAGCAAACAAATCTTCTAGACAGCAGAATCCTTTGCATGTCTACTCAGGAGTAAGTCTCATTGAATTGCAGAAAGACTTACTCCCAAACAAGTGTGTTTAGAATTGAAGCCTCAACATTTCAAGTAACTGTTGCTGAAATAAAGGGGATTAATGCCATGACGCTTTTAGACGTAAAACTAGAGCAACAGTGTGGTATACCAGGAATATGTCCAAACACAAAGTTGTGTCAATCATTACTAGCAATGCCAGTGGCCTTATTGCATTTCATACAGCACTTGCAAAACAAACAAACAAACCCATCAGCTGGGTGGTGGGAGACAATGTATTTGGGCAATAAAATATTGTTGCTTGGGTGGGTGAGCAAAAACACGATGGTAGAGAAAAGAACCTGAATCCCCCATAATCTCCCTCTAGCAAGGTCCAACACAACTTGTGCAGCTCCATGCCTCTCCATCAATGCTGTTATTCTATGCCCCAGTATATAATGCTTTCCATCAGTATAGTCTTTGCAAGAGAAAGAGAAATAGTACGTCACCCGAGCCATTTCTGACTAGCTACGTTTTGAAATAATTATGCAAAGTATATAGATATACGCAAGATGTTATTCTCAATCCAAATGCAGCACTTGTAAGCACTACAATGCAGCACATGCCCACATTTACCTGTATAGAGGTACTGGAGAAGGGAACCAAAGGCAGCTGGGTTGATCTATATAATGAATGAAAGTGGTTATTTACAGAGGTTGCATTTTGACATGGCTTGAACTATACACTGATATAAGTGAGAAACAAGCTAGAACAGCAGTAGCTAAGGTGTTTTGGACTACAACTCCCATCAGCCCCAGCCTGTCAGGTCAATGATCAGAAGTCCACAACAACTTCCAGAGGGCACCCCATTGGCTATATTCAAACTAGAAGGTAATGAGGGCCCATGAGATTCTGCAGTAATGCTAATTCTGGAGAGGCAAGCAACAAAAAGGGCAAGATTTTAGCTGTATCTCCCTTTTCCTCAATGCCAGCTCGTTCGCACCATGTGACAACATTAAATAATGTCGCTCAAAAAGTAATTAACTTGTGGAACTGACCACAAGTTGTGATAACCACTTATATAGTTAGCTTAAAAAAACAAAAACCTGTTTTGTGAGAAGTTGAATAGCTTGTGTGTTATGTTTATCAGTAGGAACAGGCAGGGTCGATTCAATACAGTAGTCACAATGAAATCTCAATACGATATTCCAGATCAACATTGCTGAGATAATCCAAGTAAAACTGTTTTAAAGAAGCTTGATTAGTTAGTAACATCAGGCTTGGTACTCGTGTAGCAGAATAAAGTGGCAGAATGGACTGTGCCATTCAGACTGCAAGTAGGAGAAGCCCATTTTGAGTGTTCCAAATTTAACAATATTCACTGCAAATAAAAAAGAAAAAAGAAAAAGAAAAAAGGAGAATAGCAGTGAGAGGACTAGCCCAGAACCACTTCCTCTCAATGAAGTGGAGAGTTAGTTAATTCAGGGAGTTAGTTGCTTTTTATGGTTTTTTTAGTTAGTTGATTTTTATGTTTTTTAATGTATTTGAAATAACATCCTCACCCACAGTCTTAAGTGGTACAGTCCACTCTACTGTCTCATTCTGATGCATGCGTAAATCAGGGTCTAGACTTGGCACATGAAACCTTAAAGGAAGCACCAACTGCAGACACTATTCCAGTTAAAACAAAGCTTGAGTCTACTCACCAATGGATGCTTTAGTGCTATGATATTCTTCCCCTTCCACTTGGTCTCAAACATTTCTGCAAAATATGCACTCCGGGCACCGAGAATGCAGCGATGGGCACAGAAAGACTTCCCATGCACAATGAATACAATGTCACTCTGGTAACCCTGTTCCAGAAGTCTGCAAGGAGAATGAGAACAACAAGTCTGAAAAAAACTGGACTGGAGGACTCAGCAACTGCGAGAATCTTGTTCCTTCAAAATCAAGGTTCTAAAATAATGCTTTATTATTTATTAATTGGTCCCTTTCTTACCAAGGTAACTCAAAGTGACTTACAATATATAAACAAAGAAAAACATACATTAAAACCAGCACAGAGAAAAACAGTGAAAAAATGAAATGACAAACTTGTTCTTAAAAAGGCAGAATCTGAACCACTCAAGAAGGCCACAGGAAATTATGATTCAACGCCATCAAGAAAAAGTTACGTTTTTGCCTGATGCCTAAAGCTAATATAATGATGGCACCAAGTGAGCCTCCCTGGGGACAGCATTCCATAAACAGGACTGCACACACACACACACACACACACACATTAAGTAGTCTTATTTACTTCTGCCACCTACGCAGTAGATTGTGATTAATCAGTTTTATCATGTATACTGTATGAGAAGCTTTTTCAGTGGGGAGGGAATTAAATATATATATATAAACTTTCAAATTACTGTGTACTAACAGTGGCTTGACAGATTTGTCATTATCACAAGCGAGCCTCCATAAGACAAGAACATAATAAATCTTTTGAATCTCCTGAAACAAAACAAGCAAGAGGGGTCAGCCATCCAAGGAGTGGGCGTGGCAGTCCAATGGAAACAGATGCATTTTAATGCTTAACCGCCTGCAGTGAAGGCATCCCTTCTCTCTTTACCGTTGAAGGAAGACATCATAGTAGTCTCTCTTCATGCACTTTGCTGTGATCTGCTTGTACTCCTTTAACACCCGCCGAATAGCATCACTCAGGGCCCCATATAAACAACGCTCGCCATCAAAGGTGTTTGCTTCACATTTGGCACCTGTAAACCAATACCAACTGGCATTTAGGTTTGAAGCCATATTACAAGAGACAGATCATTTACATATGTGATATTGTCTTTCTCTGCAGAACAGTACTAAGAACTGCTTCCACTAAACAACTGAGCAACCTTCATCCCTCGTTAAAGTACTTTCATATGTTCTTCTGGTCTAAAGCAGAGCTCATGAAGTAAAATTAACATTCAACCGTAATATCCAGTCTCTTAATTTCTGCCTTGGGACAACTGCAAGACTACTCAGTTTTAAAAGAAAATAGCTGCCTGAAGCTGAATACATTCTACAATATTTCACAGAAAACATTTCTGCTACACCCATACCACTGTGATCCAGTGTGCTACACTATGAGCTGGATTGTGGTTAGAGTGTTGGATGAGGATCAGGGTTCATATCCACACTCAGCCATGAAGCTTGCTGGGTTACCTTGGGACAGTCATTGTCTACTTCCCAGGGCTGATGAGAGGATAAACTGAGGAGGAGAACCATGAACACCACATTGAGCTCCTTGGAGAGACGTTATTACAATTTAAAAAACAGAGAAATGAATCTCTTTTAAAGTACACTGTAAATATTTAGTAAATACAAGTTAGAAGCAAGCTAAAAAGCTTCCCAGAAAAATTAAAACTTTTTGATTGCGTGTTTAATTACAGTTAGGAATATAAAATTTATTGTCCAAATTCAATATAATTCTCTCTCAAGTCTGTGTCTGCATTGGTTGGAGTATACCCATTTCTAATAGAGTCTGCATGTAGCTGCATGTTCAATGACAAGCTATTCTTACCAAATTCAACATTACCCCACCAAAGCATGATTTGGATTTCTTATACCTAGAAGGATTATTATTTGCTTTAGCTATAAGCTATGAATTATGATCTAATACCAAGTTTGGAATGCTGTTCCTATGGAAATCTGAAAGGCGCCTACAATCCTGATGTTTTGTCACCTGCTGAAAATATATTTGGTTCACCAAGTGTTTTTAAAGACTTAATCTGATTCAGCCTGGGTCATCTTATGATTTTATAATTGTACAATTTTGTTATTTTCAATGACTGTAACTGGCTGTGCTCTTTTATCTCTGGACGGGGACAGAGGGTGGCACTAGGGAGGGAAATGTCGTCGCGCCACTCCTTGGTGTGTGGAGTGCCGCAGGGCGCAATCCTCTCCCCAATGCTTTTTAACATCTTTATGCGCCCCCTTGCCCAGATTATCCGGAACTTTGGGCTGGGTTGTCACCAATATGCTGATGACACTCAGCTCTATCTGCTGATGGATGGCCACACCGACTCGGCCCCGAACACACTGACCAGATGCTTGGAAGCTGTGACTGGATGGTTTCGTGGGAGCCGATTGAAACTAAATCCTTCGAAGACAGAGGTCCTATGGCTGGGTTGGGATGGCATGGGGATGAGGGACCAACTCCCTTCTCTTCCGGGGGCCCAATTAGTGCCATCGCCTTCCGTTAAGAGTTTGGGTGTAATCCTGGACGCCTCCCTTTCCATGGAGGCGCAAGTTACAGCAACAGCCAAGGCGACATTTTTCTACCTTCGCCGCATCAAGCAGTTGGTCCCTTACCTTTCCCGCCCCGACCTGGCCACAGTGATCCATGCGACGGTCATCTCCAGGCTTGACTACTGTAATTCACTCTATGCGGGGCTGCCCTTGAAGCTGTCCCAGAAACTCCAGCGGGTGCAGAATGCTGCAGCGAGGCTCCTCACGGGGTCTCTGCCATGGGAGCATATTCACCCAGTGCTTTTCAAGCTGCACTGGCTCCCGGTGGAGTACAGGATCAGATTTAAGGTGCTGCTTTTGACCTTCAAAGGCCTTCACGGCCTAGGACCCTCGTACCTACGGGACCGCCTCTCCCGGTATGCCCCACGGAGAACCTCAAGGTCCATAAACAGCAACACCCTAGTGGTCCCGGGCCCTAAGGAAGGTAGATTGGCTTCAACCAGAGCCAGGGCCTTTTCAACTCTGGCTCCGGTCTGGTGGAACGCTCTGCCTCATGGGACCAGGGCCCTGCAGGATCTGATTTCTTTCCGCAGGGCCTGTAAGACAGAGTTGTTCCACCTGGCCTTTGGCTTGGAGCCAATTTGATTCCCTCCCTCTCTTTCTTTTTTCTTTTCCTTCTCCTCCTATGATGAGGCTACATTTTAATATTTTAATGTTTCAACATTTTAATGTTGTATTTTTAATTTTGTTTTTAAGTTGTAATCATTTAACTTGTTTTTATTATTGCTTGTAAGCCGCTCTGACCCCGGCCTTGGCTGGGGAGGGCGGGGTATAAATAAAAATTATTATTATTATTATTATTATTATTATTATTATACCACCTCAACAATAACTGTGTTGGTGGTTTATAAATATTCTGATAAATAAAGTTAAAAACCATGATTTTGTTTTATTTCTCTGACTGGATTTATATTCTTTGTATCTGTTAAACAACAGACCTAACATTGATTAAATGAAATCAATGTATTTTGAAGGTGTGGGTGAGAGAACTAAGCGTATCTCACTCTACATCAGTGTTTTCCACATTAGTGTGTTGGCTGCAGTGTGTAGGTGAGTCACACGAATGCTCCCCACGGTGCTCCCAGGGCTGGAAAGGGGTTAGTTTAACCTCTTGTTTGCTAGTAAAACTGAATTACTGTGTCGTGAAATCTTGCATGTCTAAAAAGTGTACCACCAGCATGAAAGGTTGGGAAAGCTCTGCCCTACATTATTGCCTTTGTTCTTTTAGCCAAGTTACTAAGAAACAGCGCAATAATGCCCTTGGGAGCTGGGTGGTTCAAGAATGGATGCTGGCAGACTTGTTACTTGGTAACCTAGATAGATCTGCAAGTGAAAGCACATATTCCTGGTGATAACTGTTCCTACTTGTCACTCAGTAAATGGTGGCAGCTACTGATTCAGTGTATTACAGGTGAATTTATTCTTTCTAGTAAAGCCAAACATTAAATCCATTTATTTTTGCCCTGCTGGGTGCTATGATGAGAACAGAAATATTAAATGTACCAACAAGGAGCCTTAACTTTTCCTTTTTTTAAGTAAAAAATGAGAATAATAATTAATGATGATGATGATGATGGCTGGGTTTCCCCAGCCACTCTGGGTGGCTTACAGCATATATAAAATGTAGTAAAACATCAAATGGACATTTACTTTTAGGTGCGTTTTATTAAACAAAATGGCAGCAAGCAGACTAGATTAAAAATAGCAGCTCTCCCCATTGGCTAAGATCCAATTTTAATGTCACGCTACGGCTAGTACAGTGGTACCCCGCAAGACGAACGCCTCGCAAGACGGAAAACCCGCTAGACGAAAGGGTTTTCCGTTTTGGAGGCGCTTCGCAAAACGAATTTCCCTATGGGCTTGCTTCGCAAGACGAAAGCCCATAGGGAAATCTCCGGGGACCTCTTTTAAATGCTAGCGGTGGGGAGCAAAGCCTTTCCCCCCCCTCCGGCCTTCAGAAGAGGTCCAGGAAGGCTGGCGGGGGCCGAAAGGCTTTGCTCCCCACCGCCAGCATTTTAAAAGCAGTCCGGGATAGCAGGGAAGCGCTTCCCGCTATCACGGACGGCTTTTGAAGGCAGGAGAGGTCCGCGAAGCCTGGGCGCGCGGATCTCAGCGCACGCAGGCTTCGGCATGGCATGCCGGCAACACTCAGCAAGCAGCGGCAGCGCTGCCGCTGCTTGCGGAGAGGTCCGCGAAGCTTGGGCGCGCTGATCTCAGTGCGCGCAGGCTTCGGCATGCCGGCAACTCACCGCAAGCAGCGGCAGCGCTGCCGCTGCTTGCGGAGAGGTCCGCGAAGCCTGGGCGCGCTGATCTCAGCGCGCGCAGGCTTCGGCATGCCAGCAACTCACCGCAAGCAGCGGCAGCGCTGCTGCTGCTTGCGGAGAGGTCCGCGAAGCCTTGGCCGGACAGCTTTTGAAGGCAGGCGGGGGGGAGCAAAGACTTTCGCCCCCGCCAGCCTTCAGAAGAGGTCCTGGACCTCTTCTGAAGGAGGGCGGGGGGCAAATGTCTTTGTCCTCCCTGCCTGCCTTCCCAGGGGCTTTTAAATCGCCCCGGACAGCGGAGAAGTCCTCCGCTGTCCGGGGCAATTTTAAAATGCCGCCCGCCAGCATTTTAAGATCGCCCTGGACAGCGGAGAAGCCCTCCGCTGTCCCGGGGTTTTTTAAAATGCTGGGGGTGGGAAGAAAAGCCCTTGTCCCCCCCCCAGCCTTCAGAAGAGGTCGGGGGACAGACTGTCCCCGGACCTGGTCTGAAGTCGGTTTCCCTAGGAACGCATTAATTGATTTTCAATGCATTCCTATGGGAAACCGTGCATCGCAAGACGAAAAACTCGCAAGAAGAAAAAACTTGCGGAACGAATTAATTTCGTCTTGCGAGGCACCACTGTACTACAAACTTGTAAAAAACTGAGCCCTGTACTAACACCCTACCATGAGAGGAAAAGTTTTCCTTGCAAAATAAGATTCTAGCTGTTTGATTAACATAACAAGTCAAAAGCAGCTATGCAGTTTCCCATCAGAGCAGGATTATACTGTTTTAATTCTGGTGTACCTTCAATGACAATTCTAGAGACACACAGGTGACCATATATATTGGGCACACAGTCTCCAGGAGAAGAAGCATATCAGGTTTTTCTTACCATTGGCTAAAAGGTACCGCACAAGCTCTTCATGTCCACAGAGACAAGCATAATACCTGTTAACACAAGGAAGGAGTTAAGAAAGAGACACTTAGAAATGAAAGTCCTCCCACAGCACCAACTTTGAAGATCCTAAAATCACATTAGGTTGGGACAGAGAATGTGTTGCCCTCTAGTTGCTGTTGGAGTGCAACTCGCAGCAGCCCCAGCAGCATTGCCAATGGTTGGGATGATGGAAGTTGTAGTCCAACATCATCTGGAGGGCACCACGTTGGCTCCCCCCATGGTGTTAACTCCCTACAATAAATTGATCCAGTCCTCTCCATAGCATTCTCACTTCTTTCTGTTGTGACAAGGATAACAAGAGTCTTTTCCCCACTCTTTTTCTAGTGATGAGATATGCACTTGCTTCATGTGCAAGTAGAAAAAAGAGATGTGGACTAGGGCTATGCAGATGAAGGAGTGGGACTATGCAAACAGAGCTGCCTTGGTTTTCAGTGCTCCCATCAAGTTCTATGGGACAGCATTGAGAAAGGTGAAATCTACACACCAGCCCCACACTGTATGATAGCCAATAAGAACTTTAGGGTACATGCTTATTATTTCTATTGCAAGTATCTACATCCTGCTCTATTAGTCAAGACTTTCAGAGCAGTTTCCATTAGCGAGATAAAGGCAGCAGTAACTTGCATGTAAATCCCAGATTTTTGAAAACTTCTAAAAGTTGACACTAAAAGGTTTGGGTGAATACAAAGTCTTTTATCTGTCACTGTAAAGACGCCTAGTTAGTGCTAGGTGGGCCTCCCTGGAGACAGCAAAATGAAAAATATCCCTTTCCCAATTCCCACTCATCTCATTTCAGAAGGCGATAGAACTGCAGCAATGATCACAGGTGATAGGAAAGTTCATGCAGGAAAAGTAACCTAGGTACCTTGAATTTTATGTGGAAATAGATCAGCAGCCAATGCAATCATATAAAGGCTGACATGACAATATCCCAAGGACACATTGTACAACTCCAGGGATTCCTATTCTATACTTTCTTTTATGACCGACGTAGCACAGTACTGATGAACATATGTTGGGGACAAACAAGAGAAGACTATTGTCTTCATGCCCTGTTTGCAACCTTCCCAGAACATTACGGCTAACCAGAGCTAGACAAGATGAGGCAATGGCACAATTGGAGCAGGCCTCTTCTTAGAATGCTAGTAAATGCTAGTAAAATGGTTGCCACAAATTATCCCAAAAGCAGTGGCAGGCATTCACTTGCCCTCCAGAATATTGTTCTGAATGAGGAAAATTATTTCCAACAGCAGGTCTTGTCAACAAAAAACAGCATGGGAACACTGAAAACTTGAGACAATGGGGAGCAGAATGTAGGAGAAGGATATAAGAAAAAATGATTTCTTTTTTGAACACAACAACGGAAGTAAAATGAGGAACCGTTGCAATGCCTGAAAGCATTTCTTTAAATCCTGTATAAGTTACCAAACAGCATGTATGTCTCAAGGCCAAAGCACTCACAAAGGGGTACTGTCCCATTTATCCCGGACATTGATTTCAACATCTCTCTGTTCAAGAAGGTATCTGAAAGACAAACAAGGGCACAGCTTTAGCACTTAAGAATTCATCTAACTCACTTCAGCTACAGCTTCAGAAATTATCTGTTTTTAAAGCCCCTTTCCCTATTATTAATTATTATTTATTAGATTAGACTGCCCTACTTCATAAGATCTCAGGGCAGTTCACAGTATACTAAAGTTTGGGAGTGCCCGTGCAACCTTTAAAAGAAGGGACACAAAACAGCAAGGCTATTTCCCCCCACATTACATTTATTCTCCTTTACCTCCACCATTGATTTTTAAGTATGTGTAATTTCCTAAATATCAGAAGAAACCAACATGCTGCCCTCCAGATGTTTTTGGATTCCACCTCCCATCAGCCCTGGCCATTTGAGGAATGATGGACAGTTTAGTCCAGGCTTCCTCAACCTTGGCCCTCCAGATGTTTTGAGACTACAATTTCCAGCATCCCTGACCGCTGCTCCTGCTAGCTAGGGATCATGGGAGTTGTAGGCCAAAAACAACTGGAGGGCCGAGGTTAAGGAAGCCTGGTTTAGTCTAACATCTGGAGGCATCACATGGGCTACTCCGGCTCTACATTACAGCAGCACACACCTCCCCTCCCCTTTTTTTTTCCTTTAAGAAGTTAGTGACAAATATCCTCACCAATTCTATGGGTGCACAACAGTGCATATGCAGATTATCAGGAGCACAGAAAACACAAAGAAAAATAGTTTGTGTTTCTATTTTGCTTTCTGGAAAGGCCCTAAAAAAACAGAGCTAGTATGGTGCAATGGTTAAGAGTACTGGACTAGGACTGGGGATAAAGTCAGCCCCTGTCTCTGAATTTAGACTATCTCACAGGGTGGTTGCAAAAATAAAATAAAAGGGCAGGAGGGAGGGTAGAATGAATTTAAATATAAATGACATTTTAAAATCATGAGCAAAAATTAGCCATTATTTAAAAACCTTAAAACAACAACTGGTTGATGTTCTCCAAGTATGTTGCTACTGTTGCCCTTTTTTGTGTTTCTGCTTGTAAACTGTGTTGCACCTGAAAGCTGTAAGTGTTGTGATTTTTACTAGTTCTTAAGACTGACATTGAAATTGATGGATAGCATCACTTATGGTGATTATGCACATCACAATGAATTTGAATTGATATAATATTGTGATCAACATTACTTTTCTGGCTGTTACTACATCTTAATGCAATGAATCAGGAAATTAATTGATAGTTGTTTTAAATATACGATTGGTATATATTTATTCTTGTATTCATGAATTACTGTCATGTTAACTGTTTTGTCTTTGTAATGATGTGTTTTGTGACAGTGCTTGTATTCTGTTGAGTCACACTGGGCACACGTGTGTGGAAAAGCAGCATATAGTTTATATTTTACATCATCTTCAGTTTAAAAAAGGAGAAAATGTGTTTATAAAGCCTTAAAATACCATTTGCCTTTTTGTGTGTCTGTTTCTTTTTGGTCCTGCTCTCAGGGGATATCTAAAGTAGTCAGCTGTTTCAGGACAGGAAGCTGAGCTGATAGGCAGAAGAGGCAAAAGTTGTTTTCCTTTTTAAAAACACAGCAAGAACTTGGGGCCTCCCATTAGGGACATGAAGCAACACAGTAGCAGCCATTCTACTGCCAAATATGAGTAGCTTGGGGAGGGAAGGTTGGCAAATACAGGCAGGTGAAAAGAATTTCTGCAAAGAATTTTGCTTCCTAACTATTTATCTGCCCCCTAACTTATTCTCTGCCACAATAATCTTCTATGTTCCCAGACCTAGGACTCAACTTTTAACCAAAACATGCATTTGGAAACCTTTTTATTAAAACAAAAAAATTACCACATATTTGTATGATGGTATTGCTACTGCTGCAACATGTTAGATCAGGCTGTGACAGTCGTGGGTTCCAACCCACCAGTTGAAGACCAAAGAGCTGCCACACCCAACAGAACTCTTAAGTTATCCAGTCCATGCTTGTTCCCTATTCCCCTCACAGTTCTGTGACATTCTCCCTCCAAAATATCCCTGGTTGTGCCCAATATCCTCCATTCTATTTTTTCCAGCCCCAGCCAGTACTCCCCCTATGCCCCACGTTTGCTTTCTAAAAGTAGTGTGTGCCAGAAATCCGCCTCGCCTAGAACTTCGAAGCTCCTATCTGGAAGTCTCTCCTCCCTTTAAGCCTAGATGGGTGGAGAAGGCATTAGCTGGGGTTATCGAAGGCACTTTGTACATGCCCGGAGCCCTCTCACCCAGGTTATTGCTTTCAGGTGTGCAAACAAGCCCAGAAGCTTGTTCTAAATACCTTCCCAGTTTTACTTCTCAAGCAGCACTTTTTGCTGCTGCCTAGAAGAGGCATCTAAACATCCTAAACACACACAACAAACTTCGAGGAAAGCTAGGGGGAAAAATAGACGAGTTTACCTTAAGTTCCCGGGCAGCCCCTAAACCTCCACCAGCCACTCAGGTGCTCCCCAAACCGGAACCTCAAGGGACAGCCCCCTATTAAGCTCCCTAGCCCCAGCCTCTGCCAAGGCGCAGCACCGATGGGGGGGGGTGTGGCCCTCTCCCGGGGGTCCCCCACCCCCCACCCCATGGGGGCCTCACCGCACTCGGAAAACATCGCCCTTCTTGCAGCTGGTGAAGAGGTCGCTGGTGTCCATAGCCCGCCGGAAAGCGCCGCATTGACCCGGCCTAGGGGAACGAAGGCGGCTTCAGCAGGAGCAGGCCCAGGCCCAGGAGGAGGAGCAGGGCAGCCCAGGGCAAGCGGCGCCGGATGTAAACACGGCGCCGGAGAGGCTGCTCCACACCAGCGAGGAGGCCGGCCTCGCTCCCCGCCCTTTCCTGGGGAACCCGGCGGCGCGCAGGCCCGCCCACCTCGCCTGGGTCAGCCTAGACTAGAAGACCGGGCAGCGGCTGCGGAAGGCCGGCGTCATGCGTGTGCAGCTTTAATTCCCGCCGCCGCCTGGCAAAGCTTCGGACGGGCGAGCAGCAGCTGCTGCTTCTCCAGGCGCCGCGCGCGCTTCTCCTCCTCCTCCTGCTGCGCCCCGTTTGCACAAGAGCCCGCCTCGCTTCGTTCTGTGATTCGCCCGCGATTAGATGCCGCCACCTCCTCCTCCTCTCCGGTGCCAAGAGCGAGGATTAGCACCGGCGTTTGTGCGTCTGTATATAGAGATATTATTTTCAAAAGGGTTAGGGCTTCGTTTTTTTAAAAAGTTCGGGCTCCTCCAGCGCCCCCCATGCCGCCTGCAAATCTGTGGCCCGGAAGCCTCGGTCGGAGCGAGGCTGAAGCGGACAATGACTTTGTCTGCACGCGGAAGGGAGCTTCCTGGTTACTTCTGACGCCGTGTTCTTCGCGTGGTGGCCTCTCCCCAGAGGAATGGAAAGAAAATAAAAAATGTCAGGAGACTAGGAGGAATAAAACCCCCCGTGTCTCTCGTTGCAGGGCCGCAAGCAAGTAGGAGAAGCAGAAAAGGGAGGCAGCCATCCATGCGCTTTCCTACTCAAGTTTTTATTGTATGGAAGGAAGACTGTTCGGTTCAGTTCTCTTCGTCTCCAAAATAAGAGATGTTGTCGAGCTAGAAAAGATGCGGAAAGGGACGACGGAAGTGTTCAAGGAGCTGGTGCAGTTTTTGGGTTTTTTACCACATTATCCTTTTCTCTGTCTTTCCAATGCAGGCGCCGCCCCCCGCCTCCCCCCCCCACTTTTTGTTGAACCCGTGTGCACACAATCCAGAGCTGTCTTGTAGTTTCTTGAGAAATACTGCCGCTTGATGTGTTTCCCCTCAAACCAGCTTTAATCCGAAAGGCAATCTTAAAACCGCGTTACAGATAGGTAGCCGTGTTGGTCTGCCATAGTCAAAACAAAAAAAATTCCTTCCAGTAGCATCTTAAAGACCAACTAAGTTTGTTCTTGGTATGAGCTTTCGTGTGCATGTGTGTATCTGAAGAAGTGTGCATGCACACGAAAGCTCATACCAAGAACTAACTTAGTTGGTCTTTAAGGTGCTACTGGAAGGAATTTTTTTTGTTAAAACCGTGTGTACATTTGGGACGCCCATTGCTTACCCGCAGATGACAGCTTCACAAATAAGAGTTGTGGAGGCGACGGCTTGGTTGCATTTTAAGCTGCTAATTGCCTGAGACTTTTTAATTTGGTAAAAAACTAGGGTAAGAGGAGGCGTGATAGAGGTGTGTACAATTATTCATAGTAAATAGAGAGACGTTTTGCTCCCTCTCATAATTTTAGTACCTGAGTCGTCCACTGAAGCTAAGTGGTTAAAGCTTCAGGATAGGCAAAAGGAAGTACTACTTCATACAGTATATGTTAAACTCTGGAACTCACTTCCACAAGAAGTTGGGATGGACAACAATTTGAATGTATTTAAAGAAGGGGTTAGACAAATTCATGGAGAGTGCTAATCAAATGGCTACTAGTCATTGGGGTGTATGGTATCCCCAGGATCAATACCAGCTACTGGGATTCAAGAAGTGTGCATGCACACGAAAGCTTATACCCAGAACAAACTTGATTTGTCTCTAAGGTGCTACTGGACAATTTTTATTTTGACTGCGTCAGACCAACACAGCTACCTACCTGAATCTGGGATTCAACAGTGAGAGGGCTATTGTGCTCATGCCCCCACACTTGAGTTTCCCATAGGTCCATCCAGGAGGCATTTACTAGCCTTTGTGGTTTTGCAAATAGCACTCGTATATGCTCATAGCTATACATATACTCATAAGAGTTACCAACTTGTGCCTTTAAAATACTTGTTCAGTACAGAGCCAAAAGCAGGTGAGCTTTGGTGGTAATGGGGCAGAGCCACCAAGTGAGTTTTGGATGGATCAGTTTGCATGGGGTGCTTCAGGCAAGCAGGGACTGGTGGTCTTTCAGTGGTAAGAGTCCTCTGAATTCTATAGAAAATTCCTTTTTTCAAGGCATCTATCTCCAGTTTAGTTAGGTGATGCCACAGTCAAGCTCCCAGTATAAAATAGGAAGATAAAACGCTTGTTGTTCTTGGCAAACACTGTTTTTATATTAGTGGTAGAACTCAGTCCTGATATTGAACAGGTTTTTTGTTTGAGTCAAAGTGAGTTCTTTGGTTCAAAGTATACCATGAATCCCCGAGGCGGGGTGCGCTCCCGTTGCTCGGTCCCAGCGCCTGTCAACCTAGCAGTTCGAAAGCACCCCCAGGTGCAAGTAGATAAATAGGGACCACTTACTGGCGGGAAGGTAAACGGCGTTTCCGTGTGCTGCGCTGGCTCACCAGATGCAGCTTTGTCACGCTGGCCACGTGACCCGGAAGTGTCTCTGGACAGCGCTGGCCCCTGGCCTCTTAAGTGAGATGGGCGCACAACCCCAGAGTCTGTCAAGACTGGCCCGTACGGGCAGGGGTACCTTTACCTTTATACCATGATTGTCTTTTCTGCATGGCAAAACATGACAGGGCAACATAAGATAAACAACCCAGCTTGAGTCACCTTTCTTGCACATGCAGTTGAAGATAGTGTGAGTCATAGAAATTATTTGTTTGGTATACTTAGCATTACTGTTGCAAGGGATAAGGATCAGCCAGACGCAGCAATGGAGAATAAGAAGGTGAAGTTTATTGCCAGGCAATAAGGACCCAGTTGGAATCTCTTCCAAAGAACTGGGACCCCGATTGACAGAAATACAGGGGTCTTTATACCTGAGCAAATCACAGCAAATCATAGATCATAAGACAATCACGAAGGACTCATACTTGGTCAGCAAAAACATCAGCCAATCAGCAAGCAGTTGTCACGCTCCTAGCTACTGGTATAGCACTGGTCAAGCCCAGGGTTCCAGTTCCGCTTTCCAATGCTTCCAGTGACGCTCAGTCTAACCTTTCCCCTAATTATGACAGGACAGGGAGTTTGGACATTTTGTGGTTTTGCTCTTCCTGTTCTGTGGATTAATTTAGCCTGTTTCTGATGGGGAATTTGTACCAGAATCTCTGATTCATGTCTTGTCCGGGGTTCACAGATGTTTCTAGGGGAAAGGTCGGTTCCTACTTGCTGTTCCAAGCAGTTTGCATTTTTAGCTAAGGCACAGCTTCCCTTTTGATTCAAGTGGATTTATAAAGTACTGTAATCCTTGATTCGTGTAAGCATACATGAATATATATTGAATATATTGATTATTGATAACTGGTTATATGGATAATATAGGGGTAGCCCTTCCTTCCTTGCCTCATTCCCCCCTTTTCAAGCTCAGAGAGAAGATTCATCTGACTCCTGAGCTTGAACACCACTCAGGACATCAGAGTAAACCGTTGCTTCCTGCAATGGGGCTTGTTCCTGCACTGGGACTTGTTCCCCAGGCATTGGGACGTGTTCCCTATGCATTCGCTCGTAACCATCGTCTTCCTCTGGCTCATCTGGCACTGGGGGCAAAGCTCTGTATATTGCCATAATGTGAGGGTCAGTGAGATGCTTAACATTGCGGGCTATCATTCCCCTAAGCAAAGACAAACAACAAGGAATTACAGAAAGAAACAACAGAAACACCATTCCTCCTATGGCTAAGACGGTCAGAATGCCATGCACCCACCCCTCTCCTGGTATCCACGACCATACCTTTTCCCAGGGATTCTGGGTGGGTGTGTTGTCAGCTACCAGAGACTGCAGTTTTTTGCAATTGGTCCTCAATTGTTTTGTTGAGGTCGTGGAATTTAACCTGGCACCGACCTTTAGGGACAATTTTACAAAAACCACCTGCTCGTGCAAGGAGGTAGTCCAAAACCAATCTATGGGTCATCGTCAGCTGGTTCAAATCCTCAACCTCTGACTGCAAGGAGCGCAAGACATGGGTGGTGGCATTGATAGTTTTCTCCAGCCTGCATGTAAGAGCAAACAGTGCCTTTCTATTTTGCTCAGCAACTATTCCTGGGTAAATCCCCATTGAGAGGAAACCTATAAAACCACCCCCAACGCTCCCTACAGAATTTGTCAGATAAATTTCATCCACACAGTGGTCGCCTAGGGCCGCCCTTTTCCGTCTGCTTGCAAGATGAGGTACCTTGTGATTGATCTCCACTGCAACCGGAAAGGTAAATGCCCCTACGCCAACACACTGGTATTTTCCTGGGTGGAAATTTGTTGCCAATCCATCATATAAAAACCAGAGGTTAGGATCTTTAATCATCCAACCAGAACAAATGGACCCTTGTCCGGTGAAATTAACCGAATATTGAGGAAAATATGGGTATAGATCTGAAGAGGTAGTATTGCCCTGGTAGGAGGCATTGTGGGATCCCCAAAGCCAAAACTTATCTGAGCATTGGGTATAATTTCCCAGCCATCCTTTGTCCATGTGGTACTTAACTTGGGGCCAATACTTCCATTTAGAATTCCATACTCCAGTGGCATGACAGCAAAAACATAGACCTTTTGTGGTTCTGGTGTATCTGAGATATCTGTAGGGGATGTCATTCATTTCCATAGGTGGGGCTGCAAAGAGACCACTCTGATTGTAAAGTAGGCCTGCCAACACGACATCAGGATCCTTGATTAATCCTGGTATAAGGGACATGTCTGCTACCTTCCTTGGGTGTTCGTAATATAGGGTAGCATTTTCCCCATATATCCGGAACATGTGTTCTGCATGGTGTATAAAAACATTACCTACTACCATTGGGCCTCTCTGGAGCCACAAGCACATCAAACTCAACAGGAGCTTCATTTTCATTTTCATCTTCCCCACGTATACCTTCAAGGTTGAATCTTATTAGTTCTGGCTCTAGGTCAATGTTTATACGGTGATCCTTCTTATATACACAAAATACAATGATTAGGACCAGAAGGAGTGAAATTGCAACAATTATATAAGGTAGCAGGTACCAGAACATACCCTTCAGTGAGATATAGCCTCCCGCTCGGCCGCACCCAGTGGACTTATTAGTGGTCCCCAGGTTCTGGTCGAACTGGTGAGGTCAACTCACACCGTATACACTCTGCAACTGCTACCTTGAAGGGACCTGTGGGTGGTGGAGGGAAAACAGCTACAGTGACCAGTATAGCACCGGGAGATGCTCCTTGGGGAGGTGGGCAGGAGAAGCAACGTATGGCTCTCCTAGGTTCCCCTGGCATGTACTTTCCCTTGTATGTGAACTATTGTCGTGGACCTGCTTGTGCCCAATCTGGTATGTAGAATTCCCAAAGAAAGAAAGGAATGTAACAACCGTATGTAGTTACCAATCCACCCACTTGTCAATAAGGACCCCCCTTTTGTTCACCCTTGTTATTGTTATTTGTACTAAGGGTTTATGAGCAAAGTCTGGCTGGAATCTGGGATTGACTGAAATTTTTACTGGTAGGGGTCCTCCCATACGCTGGTGCAGCTCCTCAATCTTCCGGTGTGCGTAGACTCACTGGCTTCCGGGGTGCAGTGAGAGCAGACCTGTAGTCCCGTTGCCCGTGCTCCTGCCCGCCTCCGGTGGGGCTAGGTGCAGGGGTTCCTGGTGAGCTTCAACTTCAGAGGGTTAGATGGGTTCAGCTCACAGTTCCAATGACCCTCCGACCGCTTCAGACGAGAATGATGAATCCACGGGGTAACTTCCGCAACTTTCACCGCAGTTGGTG